GACGACGGAGGGAAACGAGAGTCGGTGACAAGAGTGGCGAGGACACGAGAGACAACAGGACGAACAGCGCGGTAGTAGTCAGTGACAGGAGTAGGGGGGAAAGGGAGAGAGGACGGAGGTGGACACGGGAGAACGGACTCAGGAGGAGGACGCAAAGAGACGAACAAAGGAGGGCAGTGCGGAGGTCGGTAACGGGAGACGAGTGACGAGCACGCGGAGGACAGGGACGGACACGAGAGTGCGGGACACCAGGTGGAGGAGACTGCGGTGGAGGAGAAGACCAGACCGCCGGACGGGCGTCAGGAGGAGGAAACGTGGGACCAAACGCTGGAGGGGACGGAGTGTGAACAGGAGGAGAGGAGGGAAGACCAAGGGCCCGAAGGCCACTCACGGGTGGGAACAACTGCCGCTCCAGAGGGAGCTGCTGTGGTCGCAGCTGCGGCGGCGGTGTCTGCTGCTGCTGCGGCTGCTGCTGCTGCCGCCGCTGCTGCTGCTGCTGCTGCTGCTGCTGCTGCTGCTGCTGCTCCAGCAGGTCCAACTGCCGCAACTCCTGCCGCTCCCTCTCCAACAGCACCTGCTCCTCACGCTCACGCCGACGGGCCGCCTGGAGACGTGTGTCGTGGCGGTGGGGAGGCAAAGTGGACTCCGCAGAACCAGTGTCTCCTGCTCCAGTCTCCTCAGAACCAGCACCTCCAGTGCCAGCGCCTCCAGCACCAGCACCCCCAGAACCAGCACCTCCTGTGCCAGCACCTCCAGCTCCAGCACCCCCAGAACTAGTACCGCCAGTGCCAGGACCTCCAACTCCAGCACCCCCAGAACTAGCACCTCCAGTGCCAGCACCTCCAGCTCCAGCACCCCCAGAGCTAGCGCCACCTGCGCCAGCACCTCCAGCTCCAGCACCCCCAGGACTAGCACCTCCAGTGCCAGGACCTCCAACTCCAGCACCTCCAGGGCTAGCGCCACCTGCGCCAGCACCTCCAACTCCAGCACCCCTCAAACGAGCACCCCCGGACCGAGTACCGCCAGTGGCTGCACCTCCTGCTCCAAAACCAACCGAGTCCACAGTAGCCTGTTGCGGAAGTACCGAAGGCTGCTGAGGGGACTGTGAGGAGGACTGCGGGGAGGGAGCCGCTACCTGACGCGCGACCGAGGGTAGAGGGGTAGCGTGAGACACACCTGACGGGGCAGGACCAGGGGGGGGTGGGGGTACCGGAGGAGCGGGAGCAGGGGGAAGAGAGGGTGCGAGGAAAAGGGGGGGAAGGGGAACCGGGAGACCTCGACAGGGGTACCTGGTGTAGTAGGACACTGACTCGTCGAACCGGACGTCACGGGAGTCTAGGAACTGCTGGAAAGGCGGGTGGTAAAAGGACCAGTCGGCCGAGGCTACCGGGAAACCAAGGAAGACACAGGGGACGGCGCGAGCCGAGAGCTTGTCCGCAGAGGTGTCGCGGACAAGCGCAAGGCAGCCCCAGACTCGAAAAGCTGACCCAACACCAGGGGACCCGGTCCAAAGACTGGTCGGTGAAGCCTCTGGCCGCGAGACGCGCGGCTGGAGGTTCAGCTGGTGAGCGGCGTAGCGAACCGCGTAGGGCCACAGAAAATGGGGCGCACGGGCATGAATCATGGACGTGCGGGCGATGTCCATGACCAAGCCAATGCGGCGCTCAGCAACCCCATTCTGCTGTGGGGACTCCGGCAGCGTCCAGGTTTGTACAATGCCCTGCTCGCCGCAGAATCCGGCAAGAATGCCTGAGCGAAACTCACCCCCATGGTCAGAGTGGAGACAGGAGACACGACGGCCACGAGTGCCCTCAGTGGCTAGAAGCCACCGGATAAGCGTAGAAGTCACCTCGGACTTCTTCGCGAGAGGAAACACCGTGGTGTACCTGGAGAAGTCGTCGACGACCACCAAAAATTAGCGCTCCCTCTCAGGTCCCTGCGTAGGTGCAGGGCCCCAGACATCCAAGTGGAGTGTCTGGAAGGGAGCAGTGGCCGGACGAAGGGAGGAGGAGTGCGGAGTGGCACGAAGACGGCCGGCGACGCAAGGAGTGCACGGCGGCGCAGGCGAGGGAGGGAGCGACGGGAAGACGCGAGGGAGACCTGAGACAAGACGGTGACTAGCCATAGTGCGGAGGCGGGGGATCGACGCGTGGCCAAGACGGTGGTGCCACAAGACGGTCCGGTGGGTGAAAGACCGGCACGAGCAAGACGCAGCAACTAGACCGGACACAGCAACCTGACCGGACACAGCAACCGGTGGGGACGCAGTAACCTGACCGGACTCTGCTACCGGAGGGGACGAAGCAACCAGACCAGACGCAGCTACCTGCGGGGGCGGAGTGTGCAGGACGAAGAGACCTGAGTGGGGCTCCCCGGTGGAAGAGTCCGTACAGATCGCAGTCCTCCCGTGCGCAGGAAAAGTGACTGTGATCCCCCGGTCCTGAAGATATCCAACACCCACCAAGTTCCGAGAGAACGAGGGGATGTAGAGACCAGTGAGGAAACCAGAGGGGACAGCTGGGCACGGGAGAGTGGTCGAGCTGCGAGCAACTGCTGGTCCTGAAATAGGATCAGCCAGGGCAACTGGGACTGGAGCCGAAAGAGGTGTGACAGTGGTGTGGTCGCGAAAGAAGCACTGGGACGCGCCGGAGTCCAGCGTGAAGGAGAGCGACGCAACAGCAGTCGTCACGGCTGGGCTAGTGACTACACAAGCACCTACACTAAAAGCACAAGTACCTACACTAGCAACAGGCAAAGGTCCTAAGCTAGGTACACGCAAGCCAAGAGATCCGTACGTGACAGAATAAACAGCATCCATAGACATATCAAACACAGGGTAACCACTACGAAACAAACCGGGCCAGATCGGGGGAGCCGACTCAGGCCCAAAACGCTCACGGTATAGGTCGTCGAGGCGACTGTAGCAGCGCGGTGCAGAGTGGTCAGGATGCCAGCAGGTAGTGCCAGCACCAGGGCCGGTCAGGATCCGGTACTGGCAGGGGCCGACGTCGCGGCCACCGCGACGAGCCCCCAAGCCGGCTGGGCCGCTGCTGCAGCCAACGCTACCCGAACCGCCAGGCCGCCACGGCTGCTGAGGGCGCCACAACTGCTGAGGGCAGAGCTGCTGCTGAGGGCGCCACTGCTGCTGCGGGTGCCACTGCTGAAACTGCCGCTGCTGCTGTCCCTGCTGCTGGAGAACCCTAGTGGATGTTAGAGGGCCCTACGACAGCAAGGGCCCTCGATGACCTTTGACTTGGCAGGTCGGCGCCTAACGACTGAGTCTACTCGGCACCGACGCACGAGTTCGGTGGCGGTCATTAGTGACTACGGGTGACTGTGAGCTACTGCAGCGAACTCGGCGGAATCGGTGCTAGGAATGACGAGTCTTGGGGGTCGTAGGTGCCTTGCTTGTGAGGCACGCTGCAGGAGCTAGGGACGGCCACGAGAACAACTAGGAGCGCGAGGTGAAACTAGGCGAGGAACGGCTGGAGCACGGAGCACACTGAGCTAGGAGCGCCAGGTGAAACTAGGCGAGGAACGACCGGTGCTGGAACGGCTGGAGCTGAAACGGCTAGAGCTAGAACGGCTGGAGCGAGAACGGCTGGAGCGAGAACGGCTGGAGCTAGGCACGGCTGGAGCTAGGAGTGGCTGGAGCTAGAACGGCTGGAGTGAGAACGGCTGGAGCTAGAGACTGTAAGTGCGGCTGTCGGCTGCCGCTAGTGGAGCCAGTGGCAGTGGAAAGTACGTGCGACAAAGGGGCTGCAGTACTGACGGCTGCGGGAGGTAGGGAACTGTGCAGGTCGTCCGGCAAGCAGGAACGCGGGCGACAGTTGCAGCCCCCCACCTTGAACCCCCCTTTTTTTTTTTTTAGGGTTTAATTAATTAATTTTATTTTCTGGCGCTAAAGCGCTGCGGGGCGCGCTGCCTGCAGGGTGTGCTGCCTGCAGGGCGCGCTACCCGCGGGGCGCGCTGCCTGCGGAGCGCGCTACCCGCGGGGCGCGCTACCCGCGCGGCGCGCTGCCTGCGGGGCGCGCTACCCGCGGGGCGCGCTCCCTGCGGGGCACGATTTCTGCGGGGGGCGTGCTACCTGCGGGGCGGGGCGACGCGGCGGGCTAGGGGCAGGGCGCTCGGGCGCGCACGGGCTAGGGGCAGTGCGCACAGGCGACGTTACGGGCTGGGGCAGGGCGCATGGGCGACGTGACGGGCTGGGGCAGGGCACACGGGCTACGCGACGGGCTAGGGCAGGGCGCACGGGCTACGCGACGGGTTAGGGCAGGGCGCACGGGCGACGCGACGGGCTGGGGCAGGGGCCACGGGTTACGCGACGGGCTGGGGCGGAGGCGCGATACGGAGGGCGTGGAGGGCGCGTAGGGGAGGGCTAGGCGCGGAGGCGCGGATGGCGCGTTACGGAGGGCGCGGAGGGCGCGTTACGGAGGGCGCGGATGGCGCGGAGGGCGCGGAGGCCGCGTTACTCGAGGCTAGGGCGCGGAGGGCGCGGAGGCCGCGTTACTCGAGGCTAGGGCGCGGAGGGCGCTAGGGCGCGTGGAGGAGGGCGCGTAAGGCGCGGAGGCGCTCTAGAGCGCGGAGGGCGCAAGGGCGCGGAGGGTGCGAGGGCACGTGACGGAGGGCGCGTAAGGCGCGGAGACGCTCTAGGGCGTGGAGGGCGCGAGGTAGGCTACGCCAGGCAAGGATTCTAAACCTACTCGTGATACCATCTCAGAAAGTGAATGCAACGGAATGTTTGACTTAGGAGAGCAAGGCATACAAATAGAAAACCTAAGAGTGTTGTACTCCTTAGAGTGCTACTCACTGCAGCCTACAACCAATAACAACATTTGACAATTTGTACCAAGGCTCTTGCCTGAGGGAATCATTACTCAAAAATCTTCCCTCAGACAGGTGAAGTGAAGCCAAAAGCTAGTCTACAAAACAAAAGACCTAGGGCCGAAGAGTGCCTCTTACAAAGGCAGGACAGCACCGGGCGGAGCGAAATGAAGGAATCACGAAGGCTTTGCCTTGCGGTAGGCGGGCTTGCCCTTAAAGAGCGCCACCAGGTCATCAAAGCCCTACAGGGGAATGGCAGCGAAGGGAGGGTGCAGGCATGGGAAGGGAATGAGATTCCATTCCACGAGTTGAGATTAGAACAATGTTTGACTTGTGCTGTGCGAGGAGTGTGCGGCGCACTGCGCATGTGAGACTGGCTGGGATGACACACGAGCAAACCTTGGTGGCTGTATGGAGGATGACGAAGAGGGAGGAGAGGTAGATGGCCACTGCAAGGAACGTGACTAAATCGAAGGTGATGCTGGCCACCTGCACGCACACGTGGATGCACAGGAGTGGGCGAACACAGAGAAGAACAGAGCAACCAGTCAGTGGAGCAGGGAGGAGATGGCATGAAGGCCTAAAAAAACTTTCTTCAAGGTCGGTGACTAGGACACAAGCACAACACATGGTGCATGGTGGATGCACGGTAGGTGCAGACATGATGGATTGGCTCCTAGTTTGATACAAGAAGCAGACGTAGCATGCTACCACGGCCCGCCCCACCCCACCTGGTAGACGTGCATCTGGGCGTGCGGCGTGGAGTAGACTGTGTAGTGCGGGTCCAAAGCTGCTTTTGAGACGCCTCAAAAGACAACTCATGGTGCATGGTGGATGCACGGTAGGTGCAGACATGAGACACAGCATGTTACCACGGCCCACCTGGTAGACGTGCATATGAGCATGCGGCGTGGAGTAGAGCGTGTAGTGCGGGTCCAACGCTGCTTTCCTCACCTCCACCTTGTCCGCATGCAATGCCATCTCCTGCCAAGCGCACACGTAGACCGTTAAAAATAAGCGAGGGAGCACAAGGAAGGATGCGAAAGAGGTCTCCAAGGGTGAGAGCTGTTGCAGCCGCACGCCATTGGGTGCTGACGTTTACTGCAACGACGAGAATGATCTCACCAAGTGTGGACCCCAATCTCTCAGACAGAGGAGACACTCTTACCGCTTGGATGGCGGCAATTATTGGGTCGTCCTTGGCCAATAGCGGGGCGACACGTGGCGCGCGGGAGAGGAGGGAGAGCCAGTGAGAGAGGTAGGGGAGGCTGGGAGCGAGTGAGGAGTTGGGTGGGAAGAAGGCGATGGGGGAAGCGGCTGCCGCTGCTCCCTCAGACGGGTTGGCACTGGCGGTGCTGGTGCTGGTGCTGTTGAATATGTGGCTCTGGAAAGGAGATATGGAAATGTAGATATACAGACATGAGAAAAGGGGAAGAGGGTGGATGGGGACAAACAGAACCAAGGTGCTAAACGGTTCAGGTTGAGAGGAACAGGTAGAAGCTGGGTGTAGGTACAAGAAGGAATGGGAGAGGGCATGAGAGAGTTGTTCGCCTCTCACCGCAATGGTTTCAGCAATGAGGCGCGTGGCAGCCAGCAACTGGTGCTCGTCCACTGATTCCCTGCAGAGTGACGGCAGCAGCGGTGCAGAGGCGTTCACATACACATGTGCGGAGAGTCGGTGATGAAGGGAAGGCGGAGACGACAGAGAAGTTGGAAAAACCAGTGAGGGATGGAGAAGGTGCCACAAATGAAAAGATTGACAGGCAGGGAGAATAAATTGGGTTGCGAAGTGCTCGCATCCCTTTCGACCTGACTGCACCTTTCCACCTCTTCATGCCTCCTCCCTTCTCACACCTCATCCTCCTCCATCCACTCCTTCCCCTGCTTACCTGGTGTCGGCCAGTCCCCCCAGTGGCGCAGGAAGCGCGGAGCAGAGGGCAGGGCGGAGAGCGAGGCGGCCACGAGCTTGCTCCCATGCTGTTACCTGCCCTTGCATGCCCGTGCCTAGTCCTTCACCCCTTCCCACCCCTTGGTACCTGGTGTCAGCCAGCCCCCCCCAGTGGCGCAGGAAGCGCGGAGCAGAGGGCAGGGCGGAGAGCGAGGCGGCGACGAGCTTGCCTGGGCGATGCCTGACCTTGCCTGCACGTTACCTGCCCTAGCCTGCCCTTGCCTGCCCTTGCCTAGTCCTCCCCGCTCCCCTTCCCCCCCCAAAGTACCTGGTGTCAGCCAGTCCGCCCCAGTGGCGCAGGAAGCGCGGAGCAGAGGGCAGGGCGGAGAGCGAGGCGGCCACGAGCTTGCGGCGCGAGAAGAGCTCGTGCTGCCACGGCACGCGCGCGTCCGAGATGTTCACCTTCTTGTGCACCAGGGCGATGGAGGTTGGGGGGTCCGCGGCTGCTGCAGCGGAGGACAGGCCCTGTGGGGGGGATGAAAGGGGGTGGGGGTGGGTGGTACCAGAAGAGCTCGTGCTGCCACGGGACGCGCGCGTCCGATATGTTCACCTTCTTGTGCACCAGGGCGACAGGGATAGGTGGGTCCACGGCTGCTGCGGCAGAAGACAGGCCCTGCAGGGAGCAGAAAGGGGGGTGGGATTGGAAAAGAGAGGCAGCACGGCACTCGGGCGTCCGAGATGTTCACCTTCTTGTGCACCAGGGCGATGGAGGTGGGTGGGTCAGCGGCTGCTGCGGCAGAGGACAGGCCCTGCATGCGGTGGGGATCACGTGGGGTGAGGGGAGTGGATGGTACGGGAATGAGGGTCAGCACGGCACTCGGGCGTCCGAGATGTTGACCTTCTTGTGCACCAGTGCGACTGAGGTCCGTGGCTCAGCGGCTGCTGCGGCAGAGGAAAGAAGGGTGGGATTTGGAAAGAGAGGCAGCACGGCACACAGGCATCGGAGATGTTCACTTTCCGACGCGTCCGAGATGTGCACCTGGGCGATGGACGCTGGGGGGTCAGCGGCTGCTCCAGCTGAAGTCAGGCCCTGCGGAGGGAGGCAGGGGAGCGAGGGGAGCGATGGGGGAGTGGATGGTACGGGAAAGAGAGGCAGAACGTAATGAGGGCAGGAGGAGCGGCGGAGGGGGGGCGCAGGGGAAGCATGGAGGAAGGGCAGTGGGTGGGAGGGGAGGTGACGGGGAGCGAGCAGGGCTCCACGATGGGGACTCACGTGGAAGAGTGCACGGATGGTGGGGTCCTTGAGAGGCCGCGACGCATGCACTTTGCGGCGCCTCAAAATACACCTCAATGCTAGGGGACGTGGAGCAAGCGGTGGTGCACCATGGGGACTCACGTGGAAGAGTGCGCGGATGGTGGGGTCCTTGAGAGGCCGCGATGCGTGCAGGTGCAGCCCACTGCCCCCCTCCCCGGCCCCTGGCGCTGCACCAATGGCGCGCAGACAGATGGCGAACTCGAGGCGGTCCTGCACACTCTGGTCCAACGAGGCCAGCCACTGGGGGGAGGGAGCGAGGGGGGGATTGGGGGGTAGGAACTGAGCAGGGCATAGTGGTAGGATGGACCAAGGGCAGACAGATGGCAAACTCGAGGCGGTCCTGCACACTCTGGTCCAGCGAGGCCAGCCACTGGGGGGAGGGAGCGAGGGGGGGATTGGGGGGTAGGAACTGAGCAGGGCATAGTGGTAGGATGGACCAAGGGCAGACAGATGGCAAACTCGAGGCGGTCCTGCACACTCTGGTCCAGCGAGGCCAGCCACTGGGGGGAGGGAGCGAGGGGGGGATTGGGGGGTACGAACTGAGCAGGGCATAGTGGTAGGATGGACCAAGGGCAGACAGATGGCAAACTCGAGGCGGTCCTGCACACTCTGGTCCAGCGAGGCCAGCCACTGGGGGGAGGGAGCGAGGGGGGGATTGGGGGGTAGGAACTGAGCAGGGCATAGTGGTAGGATGGACCAAGGGCAGACAGATGGCAAACTCGAGGCGGTCCTGCACACTCTGGTCCAGCGAGGCCAGCCACTGGGGGGAGGGAGCGAGGGGGGGATTGGGGGGTAGGAACTGAGCAGGGCATAGTGGTAGGATGGACCAAGGGCAGACAGATGGCAAACTCGAGGCGGTCCTGCACACTCTGGTCCAGCGAGGCCAGCCACTGGGGGGAGGGAGCGAGGGGGGGATTGGGGGGTAGGAACTGAGCAGGGCATAGTGGTAGGATGGACCAAGGGCAGACAGATGGCAAACTCGAGGCGGTCCTGCACACTCTGGTCCAGCGAGGCCAGCCACTGGGGGGAGGGAGCGAGGGGGGGATTGGGGGATAGGAACTGAGCAGGGCATAGTGGTAGGATGGACCAAGGGCAGACAGATGGCAAACTCGAGGCGGTCCTGCACACTCTGGTCCAGCGAGGCCAGCCACTGGGGGGAGGGAGCGAGGGGGGGATTGGGGGGTACGAACTGAGCAGGGCATAGTGGTAGGATGGACCAAGGGCAGACAGATGGCAAACTCGAGGCGGTCCTGCACACTCTGGTCCAGCGAGGCCAGCCACTGGGGGGAGGGAGCGAGGGGGGGATTGGGGGGTACGAACTGAGCAGGGCATAGTGGTAGGATGGACCAAGGGCAGACAGATGGCAAACTCGAGGCGGTCCTGCACACTCTGGTCCAGCGAGGCCAGCCACTGGGGGGAGGGAGCGAGGGGGGGATTGGGGGGTAGGAACTGAGCAGGGCATAGTGGTAGGATGGACCAAGGGCAGACAGATGGCAAACTCGAGGCGGTCCTGCACACTCTGGTCCAGCGAGGCCAGCCACTGGGGGGGAGGGAGCGAGGGGGGGATTGGGGGGTACGAACTGAGCAGGGCATAGTGGTAGGATGGACCAAGGGCAGACAGATGGCAAACTCGAGGCGGTCCTGCACACTCTGGTCCAGCGAGGCCAGCCACTGGGGGGAGGGAGCGAGGGGGGGATTGGGGGGTACGAACTGAGCAGGGCATAGTGGTAGGATGGACCAAGGGCAGACAGATGGCAAACTCGAGGCGGTCCTGCACACTCTGGTCCAGCGAGGCCAGCCACTGGGGAAAAGGGAGCGAGAGGCAATTGGGGGACGTAATGAGAGGGGTTGTGAGGAGGCAAAGGCAAAGCAGGGAGTTTATACTAGGAATAAGAGTGAGAAAGGTAAGTGGGAGACGAGGAGGGCAATGAGGGGGGACGACAGACTCATGCTCGTGACCTTCTTCACCCTTCCTTCCACCACCCCTCCGTCCCATAGTCCCTCCCACCTGCCAAGTTCAGCCCCACAATGCTCAACGCACACCCCCCTGCCTGCCTGCGCCCACGCCCACCTGGCGAGTGCCGTCGAAGTTAAAGGGTGCCCCGGAGGAGAGCAGGAAGAGCAGGTGGAAGGGCGGACGCGCGGAGGGCAGCAGCGCAAACAGGCGTGAGAAGAGGCGCAGCAGCTGCAGCACCGCCGCTACCCCGCTGGCACTGCTGGCAGGGCCGGACGCGAGCGACTGGGGTGGGGGTAAGGGGAGACGTGGGGTGGGGGTGGGAAGGGGAATGGCGGTGGGGAACGAGGGGTGCATGGGAAAGTATGAGGGGCGGAACAGCAGCGCTGCAAGTGGAGGAACTTGATGTGAGGGAGCGAAGGGGAGGTGGCGGAGGGCATGGAAGGGATGGAAGGCTGATAGAGCACGACGAGGGGCAGCGGACTCTGTAGGACGGAAGGGAGGAGCGTGAGCAGGAGCGAGAAGCGGGAGGGTAGAGGAGAGGCGTGGGAGTGCAATGCTGAGAGGAGGCAGGGGGCTGAGAGGAGGCAGGGGGCTCACAGGCACGAGGCCGAAGGTGTCAAGTGGTGCCACCACGGCCACTATGGGCAGCGCCTCCCTCCTCCCGCCCTGCGCCTGCCCCTGCCCCTGCGCCTGCGCGTCGCCGTACAGCCATGCCTCCATGGCCGGTAGGGGCGAGGAGGCTGGCAGCTTGCGGGGCTCGCCCGCTGTCACCACTAGCTTGAAGCTGATTGGGTGAGAAAGGGTGGAGACGGGAAGGGGAGGAAGAAAGGGGAGGAGGGGGAGGGAGGGGCGATGGAGCAGGTGGTGTGGGAGGACAGAGTATGGCGCGAAGTGAGAGGAAAGGGGCGAGTTGCAGCGTTAAGGGATGTCCATGAGTGCACTGAAGCGATAGAGATTTGGATATGTGGGAACCGGTGAGAGTGGCATTCCTGTGGCACACGGCCCAGTGCTCACCCGCCATTGGTGGCCGATGCTGGCTTGCCCGCCCTGTCGTTGCTCTCCACGTCAGCCGCCAGCTTTGACAGCTCAGCATTGTCAACAGCGAAATACACAGGCACCTTCAGGTGGGCGGAGGGTGGAAGGGGCAAGGGTAGAAGGTGGGGAGGGCGGTGGGTGGGGAGTGAAGTAGAAATGGGAGTGTGTCGAAGGCAATACAGTCAGCATAGGAACCAGTTATTGACTTTTCACAGAGCCGACAACAAGTGCCAGCATGGCATGGTGCAGGCGCTCCATTCATCAGAGAGCTCCATTCATGAGAGCGCCCTGTTCAACGGCTCACTCACCGGTATGTTGGCCTCCAGAAGCCGCTCCTCTAGCTGCGCTGCGCCACCACCTCCACATGCTCCTTCACCTCCCCCGCGCCCTCTCCTGCCCTGGCCTTGCTCTTCTTCATGACAAGCACTGACCAGTTGCTCACTCACCGGTATGTTGGCCTCCAGCAGCCGCTCCTCTAGCTGCGCCACCACCTCCACACGCTCCTTCACCTCCCCCGCGCCCTCTCCTGCTCCCGCCCTGCTCTGCTCATCAAAGCGCCCTGCTCAACCGCTCACTCACCGGTATGTTGGCCTCCAGCAGCCGCTCCTCTAGCCTGGCCACCACCTCCACATGCTCCTTCACCTCCCCCGCGCCCCCTCCTGCCCTGGCCTTGCTCTTCTTCATGACAAGCACTGACCAGTTGCTCACTCACCGGTATGTTGGCCTCCAGCAGCCGCTCCTCTAGCCTCGCCACCACCTCCACATGCTCCTTCACCTCCCCCGCACTCACTAACTCACTCAATCACTCGCTCATTCACTCAACCGCTCACTCACCGGTATGTTGGCCTCCAATAGCCGCTCCTCTAGCCGCGCCACCACCTCCAGGTGCTCCTTCACCTCCTCCGCGCCCTCTCCTGCCCCGGTCTTGCTGGCGTCATCGTCCGCATCGTCGTCCTCTCCCTGACCGCCATCTGGCAGCGAGGAGCTGAAGTGACGTGGCAGGATGAAGAGCAGCCCTCCCACTTTGCGGGATCCCGCCACCACCTCTGATGACGTGGCGGAGAAGAGGGGGGAAGAGGCAGTGAGGGGGAGGGAAGGGGTTGAGAGGAGCAGGTAAGGTGGGGAAGAGTTAACCACGCTCTGAGGCGCCTCAAATCAAGGCATGGGTGATATGTGCGAGCAGGCTCTTGCAGCAACATGGGAGCAGCTTCCACATGCTCGCATGTCGCATGTCGCATGTGGGAAAGCGCGATGCCGCGCTCTCACCATCGAGGAGAGTGAAGTTGATCCGTTGGATCGGCATCACGATCACGGCGCGCATCAGATCCGCCTCCGATGCTGCTGACGTGGCCAGCCCCGACGACGCGTACAGGCTGAACGACGCCTTGCGCGACCCGAACGGCGCGCCGCCCAGATCGTACTGCGATGAGATGACATGGATTGCGGGCAGGGGGGCAGGGAGGCGGGGGTTAAACAATGGATGGAACGTGACTTTATGCGGCGTCACGTTTGGCCTTGCCTCAAGGACGTTACCCGAGCCCGCACGTCCAGCAGTCATTCAAGTTCTAAGCCCTCGCCACCGCCAGCGAATGAGCCCTCCCTGGTCGATCGCGCGGTGCGATGCCCTGAGGCAGCGCTGCCGTGAATCGCGCTTTCCTGCTACGACTTGCAATCCGCACCAACAGCTTTTGGATCTGATACGGAATGCATCGCACGCACCGCATCGCACTGCAGCAGAATGACGCGGCCCTTCCTTCCCGGTGCGCGCGCTCTGCTCATCCGCGATTCTGCTGAACTCCACAGATCTGAGGCTTCCAGTCCTACAAAGCCCTATACCTCGCGCGCAGCCACCAGATCGCACGGTCCCTCGGCTCAAGATTACCCAGATCGAGCCGCCAGAATGCACGCACCGCAAAGGTTCTGCTCGCACGCGATTCCCTATGCGCACATCGATGGATCCAGACGGCTAGAAAGAGATTTCGGATCGGAATTCAGGCCGTTCACGACACGGGCGATGGCAGATCCGACGGACCTGGATCATTCTGTAGACGTCGACGACGGAGGCGGCGTCGGAGAGCACGGGGAAGACCATAAGCGCGCCGATGAGCGCCACTGCCGCCTGCAGCACCACCGCCGCGCGAAGCAACGGCGCCGGGCGCACGCGGCTGCTGCGGGAAAACGGATCCATTGGGATCGGCGGCGTGGAGAAACACGACGCGCAGACGACGGATACCGAATGGACACGGGAGGGATGGAGAAGGGGGGGGGGCGCTCCGGACCAGAATGGCTGGCTGGATCCGTGTTGCTGAAGATGAAACAGGGCAGCGGCAGGGAGGTGGCGAAAGATGATTTGGGCCCTGTGGCCCAGCCCACCAGCTTGGTGGCGGCAAACTGGATTGAATGGAAACGAGGGCGTGTTTTGTTTGTCTCGAAAAATCTCCGGGATCAGGTTGCACGCGGCCCCGGGAAAATTTGTTCCTCCTACCCAGTTTCACCTACACGTTTCGACTCCGCCACGGAGGAGAACGGGTCTCCATGAATCGTTCGCACTCCTGGCAGTTGCGACCCGATCACTGTTGCCGCGCAAAGTCAAAGTCAACCGACTAATTTGAGGTTCTTTCTGCATCTCCCAGCGGCTGTCATTCTTCACACTCGCTTCCGCTCCTTCCTCTCCCCATAACGTGCGCATCGTCGTAAGCGGCGTCCGCCACCGAAGCGCGTGTCTCCGTCTGCCGGCCGTCAGCCGTCCGATGGTCAAATGGCACGGCTTCGCTTGCGCTGCCGCCGCCGCCATCGGCCACAGCGGCATCGACGCGACGCGCAAGTACGCGTCGCAGACGCTCTCCTCTGCCGAGCTCGTGACGCTCGTCGGCATTCTCGATGCGCTCTTCCTCTCCTCCTTCATCCTCGCGTTCCGCCTCGTCACCGACCTGCGCTTCGTGACGTGGAAGCTCCTGCAGATTCTCGTTGCCAGCTCAGCAGCAAAGATCCTAGCCGGCGTGATGTACCAGCGCGCGTTACACGTGGCACCGATATCCACGACCGTTCCGTTCCTCGCGTTCGTACCCGTGCTCTTACTCGCGACGTCGTTTCTTCTCCTGGGTGAAGTCCCGAGCGTTCAAGGCGTGATTGGCGTCGTAGTTGTAACGGCAGGTGGTTACCTCCTAGCATTACAGAGCAGCGCGGGAAGCGGCAGTCGCGGCTCGAGCAGATCTAACAGCCGAGCCAGTAGCCCTCGGTATGCCGTTGCTACTACTAGTAGCGGGATTTCTTCTAACGAAATCGAGGCTCTTGGTGATAGAATCGGGGCCTCCGGTACAATAAAACTTACTGACAGTGTCGAAGCTGATGATGAAGCTAGGATTTCTCGAACTGACTCTGCCAGAGCTAGCTCACCGGCTCGGGCCGAACCGTCGTCCCCTTTAACCCCCATCCCGGCACAACCTAGGTCAATTTTGAGGGGAAATCACCCTGTTCCTTTTTCCGCACCTCCAAGCCACCGCACCGTAGCTAGACGTCTGACAGGAAACACTCAACCCGGAACTAAGGGGGAAACTGACATAACTGAGAGTCCTTCTGGTGTTGCTGACCCAAGAAATAGCTCTGACTCTGCTTTTGAAATAGCTTCGGATGCAGGCATGGATTCTCCAGACCTGCGTGCCGAGGCTGACTTGGTGCTAGGTTCGGACATAGCGTTGGATTTGAGCTTTGGGCAGCGAATCGAACGGGCAGTGAGTGAAAGACACTCGGGCAGCGGGTTAAGGGCAGAAGGGAGGGCAGGAAACGCGGCGGGAGAAGAGGAAAGGGAGGAGGTGACAGCTGGGGGAGGGAGGAATGCCACTTTGGCTGGTGAGAGTACCGGAGAGAGCAGACAGAGAAGTTTTCCTGAAGGTTCTAGCAGCAGTGAGATCGTGGCCGGCGGTGGGTTCGGAGGCGGAAGAGGGTTCTATTCCCGAGCCTCAAGAGGCCGGTTCGGCACTGGCTTGGGAATTGGGCTAGGTTCGGCTCACCATCCCCAGGAGGAGCATGGATCCGCCCAATCTAGCCCTGCCACGTCAGGAGGGCGAACGATCACAAGGGGAGACGGGGCAAGAGGGGAAGCAGGGGAGGTGGTGGGTGAAGGGGAGCAGGGAGGAGGGGAGGGCAAGGGGGGGAAGAGAGAGAGCGTGAGACAACAGCAGGAGGCGACAGCACAGCAAGGAGCAGCGCCGTCGTCAGCAGGAGGGGTGTGGCGAACGAGAAGTGGGAGGCGGAGAGGGGGGTGGATGGGGGCTTGGTTGCTGGTGCTGCTGCAGCAGGTGTGGGGGGCGGTGGTGGGAGGGAAGGAGGAGCGGGATGTGGAGGCGGGGAGGAGGGGGTGGGTGAAGGTGCTTGTGTCGAGGACGACTCGTGTGCGCCTGCTGCTGGGCGCAGTGCTCGCCCCGTTGGGGTGAGTCAGTGAGTGAGTGAGTGAGTGAGTGAGTGAGGTTGTGAGTGAGTGAGGGAGTGAGGGAGTAGCCATGAGGTCCAACAAGCCTCTCTCTCCCACTTCCCTGCCTTGTGCCTCTCTCGCTCACATTCCCATTTCAACACCCCTTCTGCTCAGTTCTTCCGTCTCTCTCCCTTTCACTCCCCACACCGCTTCGTGTGAATCAGAAAGAGGGCCGGCGTCGTCTGGCAGTATCTGCACGGTCCGCTGAAGCGGTTACGAGTGGTGGTAACCGCATGGGCAAGGGCACCAATGCGAGTGGCAGCACGAGTGGTGCGGGTGCCGTGGGTGGTGGTGAAGGGGGCGCTGAGGTGGGTGGGCGCACAGAAGCGCCACGAGGGGCCGATGCTCATGATGGGGTGCGCCGTGCTGCTCAGCTTCACCAACGGGTATGGCCCCCACCGCCCCCCTGCTCCCTGCTCCCTCAGTTGCTCACCCACCATTCATTCCGCTCACCATTCACACGCGTTCTTGTCCTCTGGCGCTTCAATCTCCCTCCCCCCGCTGCTGCTTCCCCTTGCTGCCCCCTCCTTGCCCGCACCCACCTTGTTGCCCCTCGCCCCTGCCCCCACTGCTTCTCCCCGCAGGTGTGACAAGCTGGGGGTGCACCAGTCGCCGTCAGTGGTGGTGTTTGCGGGCCTGCAGCGCCTCTTCATGGCCGTGCCACCCGTGCTCTACCTCGCCGCCACCAGGTGTGCTACAGCTGCCCCCAGGTGTGCTACAGCTGCCCCCAGGTGTGCTACAGCTGCCCCCAGGTGTGCTACAGCTGCCCCCAGGTGTGCTACAGCTGCCCCCAGGTGTGCTACAGCTGCCACCAAATGTGCTAAAACTGCAGCTGCGTCTGCCTCTTGCCGCCACCACGTGCACTTTCAACCTCACCAAGCGAGACTTGCTGCTTGCATTGCACCACATGCAACTTGCCCTCCCCTTTTTTCTCACCTCCCCTCATCCCCCCTCCTTCCCCCTTCCCCCAGACCATCCGCGTTTCCCCTACTCCTAAAGCACTTCCCGCTGCTGGCGGGCATATCAGCGTGTGAGATCACGGCTATTGTCTTCTATCTGCAAAGCCTGCACTGGCTCCTCGTCTCCTACTCCGTTGCTGTGAGCCTCCCGCTCTCCACTCCCCTCTCTTCCCTTCCCCACTCTCCTCTCTTCCGTCCGATTCTCACTGGGCAGCGACTCAAGCTGCTGTCGCCCATCCAGCCCATGTCATGGGCAACTGCAGCACTTAACATATCCATTGCCGCACCACCTTGCATTTTCTAAACACATTCCTCTTCTTCCTTCTCACGGCGTTGCCATGATGCCTCATGTCCCGGCACGTGCCGTGTGTCTCCAGGCGAAGCGCAGCAACATTCTCATCTCCATGTTTGTCGGCTACTTCCTATTCAAGGTAACCCTCTACCCTCTACCCTCTACCCTCTAGCTCTAACTTTCCATGCTACAAAAAAGTGTTTTTCCTCGCTACTCCTTGAGCATGCTTGCTTGCATGCTGCTTTGCCGCACAATAGCTGCATGTCGTTCCGCTCATTCTCCCTCCGCTTGCCCCTCCCGTGTGCAGGAGAACATATGGAAGAGACTACCATACGTGCTGCTCATGATCGCTGGAATGGCACTCATTATCTTTGCCGCATGAATTGTACGCTATGCTGCCTATGCATCATTATGCAATCAACTGACATGTGTTGATATATCCCATTAGTACTGCCCTGCCATGCCATCCCAACCATGACACCAAAGCAGAAGCAGCATAGCAGTGCCAGTACCGTATTACTGCGCTGGCCTTGAAAGGGTGACCTACGGTAGGTTAGCACAACTTGTGCAGAAGACAACCATGGAAGTGCAGGTTGCTCCTCACATACCACCCGAGGGATTTGGGCAGCGAAGTTACAGCTTACCGTACAACTGCGTTGCACGAGAACATGCCTCCATTCCACTTCTACCCTTCTTTTACTCAAGCCTGTACTGCAAAGAGCACCCGTCAATAGAGCAAGTCCACTTGTTGCTGTATCTGACGGCAAAGGGTAAGGAACCTCAAAACTCCTAGCACAATAATCCACTACAAATTATCCAAAACAAGGCCGCATCACACAAAATTATAGTAACCAGATCCTTTAGTCACTAAACAAGTCAACTACTGGATGGTCATTTAGGCAAAGGCAGGCCCCCCTGGTTCCTCACAAACCCTTCCCAACTGTCAAATGTTTATATATTCTATATATTGTTAGATAGGCTACTGTGAGTTGCCCTCTAAAGGGTACAACACTTTAGGTCGACATTTGTATCTCCTTGTCCCTCCTTACTCAAACATTACTCTCGACACTTGTCTCCTAGCCTATCTTAAGATGGTATTAGAGTAGGTTTTTTACTCCCTCCCACGCTTCCGCTCCCTCCCTTAGCCGGTCCCGAGGCGCCCGTCCCTTAGGCCCCGTTTCGTCGCGGGTAGGACGGCCCCCGCGGGCCTCGTTTTTCGTCGCGTTTACAGGGCCCCACTGGCCCCTCGTTTCGTCGCGCTCCAGAAGGGACTCTCCCCCCCCCCCCCCCGCGGGCCCGCGTAGTCGTTCTTAGCCCGCAGCAGCGCGCGCGTTAGCCAGCGGCAGCCGCGCACGCCACTGCAGCACGCGCATTGCAGCAGCAGCGCGTGCTTTGCTGCAGCAGCACGGCTAGGCAGCAGCGCGTGCATTGCAGCAGCAGCACGGCTAGGCAGCAGCGCGTGCATTGCAGCAGCAGCACGGCTAGGCAGCAACGTGTGCATTGCAGCAGCAGCACGGCTAGGCAGCAGCGCGTGCTCCTGCAGCAGCAGCACGGCTAGGCAGAAGCTAGCCGCCAGCAGCAGCTAGCCACCGGAACCTAGCCGCCAGCAGCTGGCGCCAGCTAGCCCCTCCCACCCGCCCACAGCCCCTTTCAACCGCTCACAGCCCCTTCCAACCGCTCACAGCCCCTTCCAACCGCTCACAGCCCGTTCCAACCGCTCACAGCCCCTTCCAACCGCTCACAGCCCCTTCCAACCGCTCAGAGCCCCTTCCAAACGCTCACATCCCCTTATCACGCGCGCACACCACCCAGGACCACCCGACCTCCGTTGGTTCGACACTCGCGTCACTCATACTCACAGTGTTTCGCACCGTCGCGGCTGGAGGCCGCTCCGCTTAGCTGTTTAGGCTAGTCCTGACGTTCGTTGTTAGCTAGGTCTCTCCTCGCTCCGCCAGCCCCTCGAACGACCCTCTGGCTCCTCGATCGGCTCGTCAGCCCTGCCTCCTCCAGCCGTGTGCTCCTAGGTCAGCTAACTCCCAGCTCCGTTCGTTACTAGACTGGCGTTCCTAGCTCAGTTTTCCTCCGTGCTCCAGCAGTACCTCGCCTAGTCCCACCTGGCGCTCCTCGCTCCTAGCTCCGTTTGCTCCGTGCTCCAGCTGTTCCTAGCCTAGCGTCCAATATGGACTCCTCCCGCCGCCTTCGTTTCGATGCAGAGGGGCGCCCGATAGAGTTCGGCACCTGGCTCCGCCAGACTCAGCGCTATCTCACCAGTCAGCGCCAGGACGGCGCCACCCTGTACGCCCACGCGTCCGGCGCCCTCCAGGCACCACCGCGTCCCGAGCCCCTCCCTGCCGTGCCCCCCCCGACTCCGGAGGCACAGGCGGACTACGCTCGTCTCGTCTTGGCGCGGGATGTTTGGGACTCCCGTGACGCTGCGGCTGCACTCGCGCTGACCGAGCTCCTTCCACCGACTGAGGCCGCTCACTTCGACCTGGTAGAGACTGCGAAGGAGGTGTATGATGCTATTTCTGCACGCTATTCCACCCCTTCCTCTGCCTCCCTCAGCCGCATCCTCATGCCGTTCGTGTTTCCCGACCTCGGCTCTTTTGCGACTGTCTCTGACCTAGCCACACACTTGCGCTCCCTTGTCGCTAGCTACCGAGCAGCTTGCACTGAGGCTCAGCTTCTTGTTGCTCCTCCTCCTATTTGGCTCACAGTCCACTGGGTAGTCACTCGTCTCCCTGACCGCCTCTTCACTGCCCGTGACGCACTTCTCCAGCATCACCCCAGTGAGCTTACGATTGATCTTCTCGAGACCACTCTCGGGAAGATCGAGAGTAACCTCCTCTCTGTTGCCTCAGCCACTGACGCAGTTGCCCCTCGTTTGTTTGAGGGGTGTGCTGTCCCCCAGCTTCCTACCTTCACTGCTACACGTGCCTCTGCTGCTGTGTCGGTTTCTGAGGACACTGCAGCTGTTTCTGCCGCTGACAGGCAGAAACGGGGCAAGGGGGGCAAGAAAGGGGGGAAGGGGGGTGGCGGCGGTGGAGGAGGTGGCGGTGGTGGAGGCGGCCCTGGGGGCGGCAGTGGTGGCGGTGTTGCCCTAGGCGGAGGGAGCTCTGGAGGAGGTGCTGACCCACCTGCTGGAGGAGGTTCGACCAGCGGTGGTGCGGGGCCCCAGCAGCAGCAGCCACAGCAGCAGCAGCCACAGCAGAGACAGCAGCTGCACCAGGGACAGCAGCAGTGGCAGGCACCACAGCAGTTTCAGACGTGGGGACCCCCACTGCAGTGGGGTCCGCAGCAGCACTGGGGCCCTCCGCCACAGTGGGGACCTGGAGGACCCGGGAGCACTGGCCGCAGCAGCAGCACTACGAGCTGGGCCCCTCGCCCCCCGCGGCGCGACACCGGCCCCTGCGACCACTGGTGCGTCACCGGACCTGGCAGTCCCTGTGTCTGCGGCCGCGACGACCACTCTGCAGCGCGGTGCTTCCGCCGCCTCGACGACCTCTACCGTGCACGCTGGGGTCCTGAGGCGACCACCCCGCGCTGGGCTCGCCTGCTAGCCCGTAAGATTCCTGTATTTGAACTGTCTATGGACGATGCTCGTCAGTATGCTTTGTATGCTGATGTTGACTATAGTGCTGATGGATTTGTGTGCTCGCGTGTTCGTAGTCTAGGATGCTTGCCTCCTGTTAGTGTAGACCTGTGCCTCTCTAGTCTAGGTGCTTGTGTTTCTGCTCTAGGTGCTTGTGTAGCCTCCGGACCTGACACGCCTCCGGCTGAGGCGTCTCTGTCGTTCACGCTGGACTCTGGCGCGTCGCAGTGTTTCTTCCGCGACCACACGACCCTCACACCACTTCTTGCTCCGGTTCCGGTAGCTTTGGCTGATCCTTCTTCAGGACCAGCCGTTGCGCGCAGCTCCACCACCCTCCCGTGCCCTGTGGTCCCCTCTGGTGTCTTGCGCGGCCTCCACATCCCCTCGTTCACTCGGAACTTGGTGGGTGTTGGATACCTCCAGGACAGGGGGATCACCGTTACCTTTGTGGGGGGGGGGGGCGGACTGCAGTCTCTACTGACGCTACCACAGGTGCTGTTCTGGCCACGTTCACCAGGGAGCCCCGCTCCGGTCTCTACGTTCTCCACACCGAGCGCTCCCCGGTCGCGTCCTCCCCTCAGGTTGTTGCGTCCCCTCCGGCTCAGGTCCCCAGTCCAGTTGCTGTGTCTAGCCAGGTAGTCGTGTCCAGTCCGGTCGCTGTGTCCAGTCCAGTCGCTGCGTCTTGCTCCTGTCGCTCTCTCGCCCACCGCACCGTCCTGTGGCACCACCGTCTTGGCCACCCGTCGATCCCTCGCCTTCGTGGCATGCTCAGTCAGGGACTAGTCACAGGTCTCCCACGCACCTTTCCGTCGCTCCCTCTCTCGCTTGCCCCTCCTTGCTCTCCGTGCGTCGCCGGTCGCTTACGCGCCACTCCCCACTCCTCCTCCCTTCGTCCGGCCACCGCTCCCTTCGAGACTCTCCACTTGGACGTCTGGGGCCCTGCCCCGACGCAGGGGTCTGGGAGGGAGCGTTACTTTCTGGTGGTCGTCGACGACTTCTCCAGGTACACCACAGTGTTCCCTCTTGCGAAGAAGTCCGAGGTGACTGCTACGCTGATCAGGTGGCTTCTAGCCACTGAGGGCACTCGTGGTCGTCGAGTCAGTTGTCTTCACTCCGACCGTGGGGGCGAGTTTCGCTCCGGCATTCTCGGCGGATTCTGCGGCGAACAGGGCATCACCCAGTCCTGGACGCTGCCAGAGTCCCCACAGCAGAATGGGGTTGCTGAGCGCCGCATAGGCTTGGTCATGGACATCGCCCGCACGTCCATGATTCATGCCTGTGCGCCCCATTTTCTGTGGCCCCACGCGGTTCGCTACGCCGCACACCAGCTGAACCTCCAGCCGCGTGTCTCGCGGCCCGAGGCTTCACCGACCAGTCTTTGGACTGGATCCCCTGGTGTTGGGTCGGCCTTTCGAGTCTGGGGCTGCCTTGCACTTGTTCGCGACACCTCCGCGGACAAGCTCTCGGCACGCGCCGTCCCATGTGTCTTCCTTGGTTTCCCAGTGGACTCTGCTGACTGGTCCTTTTACCACCCTCCCCTCCACCAGTTCCTAGACTCCCGTGACGTCCGGTTTGACGAGTCCGTGTCCTACTACACCCGGTACCCCTGTCGAGGTCTCCCGGTACCCCCCTCCCCCTCTCTTCCTCGCACCCTCTCCTCCTCCTGCTCCCGCTCCTCCGGTACCCCCGCCCCCCCCAGGTCCTGCCCCGTCTGGTGTGTCCCACGCTACCCCTCTACCCTCGGTCGCACGTCAGGTAGCGTCTCCCTCCCCGCAGTCCTCCTCACAGTCCCCTCAGCAGCCTTCGGCACTTCCGCGACAGGTTACTTTGGACTCGGTTGGTGTTGGAGCTGGAGGTGCAGCCGCTGGCGGTGCTCGGTCTGGGGGTGCTCGGTCGCGGGGTACTGGAACTGGAGGTGCTGGCGCACGTGACGCTAGCTCTGGGGGTGCTGGAGCTGGAGGTGCTGGCGCAGGTGGCGCTAGCTCTGGGGGTGCTGGAGCAGGAGGTGCCGGCACTGGAGGTGCTGGTTCTGGGGGTGCTGGAGTTGGGGGTGCTGGCACTGGCGGTGCTAGTTCTGGGGGTGCTGGAGTTGGAGGTCCTGGCACTGGCGGTGCTGGTTCTGGGGGTGCTGAGTCTGAGGGGACTGACGCTGGAGACCCTGGTTCTGCGGAGTCCACTCCGCCTCCCCACCGCCACGACACGCGTCTCCAGGCTGCCCGTCGGCGTGAGCGTGAGGAGCAGGAGCGGTTGGAGAGGGAGCGGCAGGAGCTGCGGGTGCTGGACCTTCTGGAGCAGCAGCGGCAGCAGCAGCAGCAGCAGCAGCAGCAGCAGCCGCAGCCGCCGCCGCAGCCGCAGCAGCCGCAGCCGCAGCAGCAGCGGCCGCAGCCGCCACCGCAGCTTCCTCTGGAGCGGCGGTTGTTCCCACCTGTGAGTGGCCTGCGGGCCCTTGGCCTTTCCTCCTCTCCTCCTGTCCGCTCCCAGTCTCCTCCTGTGTTTGTTCCTCCGTTGCCTCCTCCTGACGACCGTCCAGCGGTCTGGTCTTCTCCTCCTCCCTCTGTCCGTCGCGACCTGATCACTCGTTGTCCTCCGCGTGCTCGTCACTCGTCCCTTGTTACTGACCTCCACACTGCCCTCCTTTGTTCGTCTCGTCGTCGTTCTCCTTCTCCTGTGTCCGTTCTCCCGTCTCCTCCTCCGTCCTCCCTACCAGCCCTCCCCACTCCTATCTCTGACTACTACCGCGTTGTTCGTCCTGTTGCCGCACGTGTCCTCGCCACTCTTGTCACCGACTCTCGTTTCCCTCCGTCGTCTGCCTCGGCTCTTACTGCCGCTGTCGCTGAGTTTGCTGCCGCCAGCCACCTTGACTACGCCACCCGTGTGGTGCCAGCTCCTCCCTACCGTCCTCTGTCCGTCGGGGGTGGGTTTGCCCTTGGCTGTGACGTCCTAGAGGACAGAGAGTCTGAGCTGGAGTACTGGGCAGCCGCTTCTCCCTCTGTGTGTGCCATGCTGCTCTCCCCTGAGGGAGACCCCGACGCCCTTGACATACCGACTCCTCGCACTTACCGCGAGGCAGTGTCAGGGGCGTGGGCCTCTCAGTGGAAAGCGGCTATGGACTCAGAGTTGGCGTCTTGGAGATCCACAGGCACCTACGTCGACGCAGTTCCCCCTCCCAGGGCGAACGTAGTCGATGGCATGTGGCTCTTCAAGGTGAAGCGGCCGCCTGGAGCACCGCCGGTGTTCAAGGCGCGCTACGTGGCTAGGGGCTTCAGTCAGCGTGAGGGAGTTGACTTCTTCCAGACCTTCGCCCCGACCCCGAAGATGACTACTCTTCGGGTGTTACTCCACATAGCAGCGCAGCGAGACTACGAGCTGCACTCCCTCGACTTCTCCACTGCGTTCCTCCAGGGCCGACTACACGAGGAGATCTGGCTGCGCCGTCCTCCTGGCTTCACTGACACCTTCCCACCTGGGACCCAGTGGAGCCTGAGGCGACCAGTCTACGGTCTCCGCCAGTCGCCCCGTGAGTGGCACGACACTCTTCGCTCCACGCTTCGTGACCTTGGGTTCAGCCCGTCCTCCGCCGACCCGTCGCTGTTTGTTCGAGCGGGTTCTACTCCTTTCTTTATCCTTGTCTATGTCGACGACTTGGTGTTTGCTACAGCAGACAGGGCAGCCCTGGCTCAGGTGAAGTCCGAACTGCAGAAGAGACACAAGTGCACTGACCTGGGTGAGCTGCAGCGCTACCTTGGCCTGCAGATCACCCGGGACAGAGCCGCTCGCACCATCACACTGACGCAGTCACACATGGTGCAGCAGATCCTTCGGCGGTTCGACTTCCAGTTCTCCACCACACAGCCCACTCCTCTTGCTGTTGACCACAGACTCACGGGCCCCTTTCCTGACGAGCCCTTTGAGTCCAGTGGACCCTACGCAGAGCTGGTGGGCTGCGTCATGTACCTGATGACTTGTACTCGACCGGACCTCGCCTTTCCACTCAGCATCCTTTCTCTCTTTGTTGCGACTGGGAGACACCGCCCTGTCCACTGGACAGCTGCTGTGAGGGTGGCGAAGTACCTGGCGACTACATCAGGCATGGGGCTTGTGCTTGGAGGGACTCAGCCAGTGGCGTTGACTGGTCACTGCGACTCTTCCTACGCTGACGACGTGGAGACTCAGCGTTCGACTCAGGGTTACTGCTTCAGTCTGGGAGCTGGTGCTGTGTCGTGGAGGTCTACACGGTCGTCGTCTGTGGCTACTTCCAGTGCAGAGGCAGAGATCTACGCTGGTGCCATGGCGGCACAGGAGCTTCGCTGGTTGACCTTCTTGCTCGCCGACCTTGGTGAGCGGCCTCGCTCTGCACCGACCTTGTACGCTGACAACAAGGCCATGATCCTCCTGTGTCGAGAGCCTCGACTGGAGAGCAGAGTGAAGCATATTGACGTGAGGTACTTCCTCCTGCGAGAGTTGCAGCGACGCGGTCAGGCACGTTTGGACTTTGTGGCCTCACAGGCCAACACTGCCGACGTCTTCACCAAGGCCTTGGCGCCTGGTGACCACCACAGGTTCTGTGTGCAGTTGGGGCTTGTTGAGGTAGGCCCTCGGTTGCTGTAGACTTGCTGTTTGCTCTACTTGTTGTGCTTCTATATATACTAGTAAACTCTTGAACTGGCCTTGTGGCCACTTGCTTGTGCTCGGAGTGTGTGGTGACTCTGAGCGCCACCCTGAGCTTTGTTTTTTATGCTTGTTCTTGACTGGTCTTGTGACCCCTTGTTTCCGTTGGTTGTTTTGATGCCCCTCACTTAGCCTATGGGGGTGTGTCAAATGTTTATATATTCTATATATTGTTAGATAGGCTACTGTGAGTTGCCCTCTAAAGGGTACAACACTTTAGGTCGACATTTGTATCTCCTTGTCCCTCCTTACTCAAACATTACTCTCGACACTTGTCTCCTAGCCTATCTTAAGACCAACCTACCCAATCCACATGCTCCTTCGCCTCCCTCTTTTCCCTCCCTTCTGCCAACCAGCCCACCAGATGAGACTCCTTCCAATGCAACCTCGCTCTTCCCACCACTGCTGCTCCACCATCCCACACGAGCACACACACCGGCCCTGCACCTCTCCCAACCACTGTCACTGCTGTCACACCTGCTCCAACCATAACTACAGCTGCTCCTGCCACAGCTGCAATAGTCTGTCTTAGCTGCGATAACTGCTGCCGCAGCTACAAGGGAAAGCCTACAGCTCTCCTCTGCTTGCCTTGCATTCACCTTGCATTGCATCAGCCTTGCACCATCCTCGCCTCATCTCCTGCTTCCACTACCGCCTCCCACCGTGCTGTCACCCCCACTCGCTCCTTCCAGTCCCATTCTCACTGCACTTCACTCACTCCCACTCTTAGGCGCACTGTACCTGACTCACTCCTACTCTCACTCACTCCAGTCACTCGCTCCCACTTTTGCACCATCTCTCACTCATTCCCACTCTTCGTTGCACCATCTCTCCATCAGTCCACACTTACTCGCACTCCCACCCATTTCCACTCTTAATCGCATTGTCTCACTCATTCCCACTCCTACTCGCACTCTCCCACCCATTTCCACTCTTAATCGCATTGTCTCGCTCATTCCCACTCCTACCCGCACTCTCCCACCCATTTCCACTCTTAATCGCATTGTCTCACTCATTCCCACTCCTACCCGCACTCTCCCACCCATTTCCACTCTTAATCGCATTGTCTCACTCATTCCCACTCCTACTCGCATTGTCTCATTCATTCCCATTCCTACTCGCATTGTCTCTAACTTGCACTCTTCTCACACTCTCTATCAGACACTCCACTCTTACGCACTCTCTCTCACTAACTCCAACTCTTACGCACCGTCACCGCCACTCTTACTTGCTCTGTCTCTCACTCACTCCCACTCTCACTCGCACTGCGCTGTTCACTATCACTCCCCTTCTCCACGCCTCTCCTGCCCCTCCCACTGTTCTTCCTGTCCCTTTCCCTCTTCTCATGCCTCCCCTTCCCTCCTCCGCTCCTCCTCTCCCTTCGCTCTTTCCTTCCACTTCTCTCTGATTCGCTATCACTCTCATCACTCTCCCGCTTGTTCTTCCTCCCACTGTGCCTGCGCTTCTCCCTCTCCCTGCGCCTATCCCCATCACTCTCACTCTCACTTCCCTTCCTATCTTTGCTCCTCTCCCACTCCCACCCACTGGCACCAGCCTTACGTCTGCTCCCTTCCTCATACCTCTCTCTTCCACTCCCCCTGCTGCCATCACTGCTGCCAACACTCCCTGCCCTCTCACCTCTCTCCTTCGCATACCTCCCACGAGACTGCTTCTCCTGCCTCCTGCTGCTACCCTTCCTATCAGACCTACTGCTGACCTCCTTCCCCTCATCCCCATCACTGCCGTCCCTCTCACTCTCCACACGCCCGCTCCTCTCGCTGCCACTCTCCTCCTTCACTTTCCGCCTCGCCTTCTCTTCTGAGTGGCTGCCCCGTTTCTTCCCCTCACTGCCCCTGCCCTCCCGCTTCTTCTCATGCTTCTTTGAGCTCTCCTCCTCCTCCACATCTGTATTTCTCATCCTCCTGCTTTTTCTCTCGTTGATCCTGCTCCTGCTCCTGCTCCTGCTTCTGCTCTTGCTCCTGCTCCTGCTCCTGCTTCTGCCCCTGCTGCTGCTCCTGCTCCTCTCCCGTTCTCCCTTCCCATCCCTCCCTTCCTTCCTTCCACCTCGCCCCCTCCCCACATGCCTATCCCCACTCCTCCTCGCGCTCCTCCCCTCGTCGCCCTCACTGCTGCTCCCAGCTGACGTCTCCTTCCCCCTAACACGCTGCTCGCTCTCCTCTCGCTCCTTCACCAATCTCCTCTTCTCCTCCTGCTCCTCTCGGCCGCTCTCCTCCCCCTCCCTCCTACTCTCACTCCCATCCCTCTTCCTGGAAGTATCTCGCCCCTCACTCCCATCCTCAATATTCTCCTTCTTCCCTCGCCTCTCCTCACTCGCCCTTCTCACTCCAACCCCCCCCTCCGACTCCTCGCTCCTTTCACTGCTCGGACTCCTTTCTCTCTTGCCTCTTGCCTCATCTCTCATTTGTCCTTCCCCATCGCTCTTCATCGCCTCCCCACCACTCTTCTTCTCCTCTCTATCACTCACCGCAGCACCACGGGAGCTCTCAGGGGTATCAGGCCCATAGCGGAGAGCAGCAGCTCTTTCCTTTTCCGACTCTTCTTCCTCCTCCCTTCCTCTCGCCTTCCCAGCCTCTCTCTCCTTGTCACTTTCTTCCTTCCTGCCTTTCCTCCTCCTCTCCTCATCGCTATCATCCGACTGGCTATCACCTCTCCCTCGCTTCCGTCCCTTTCCTACCGCATTCCTTCTCCGTCTCTCCTTCATCCTCCTCGCATCTTCATCCTCCCCCTCCTCGTCACTCACTTTGCCACCTCCCCTCGACCTCCCACTCCCCCGCTTCCCACCACCCCCACTCCCCTTGTCTGAGTCTCCTCCACTAGAGTCTGACCCGTCCGCCCTTCGCTTCCTCTTCTCATCCTCGACACTGTCTTCTCTCGCTTTCTCCTTCCGTCCTTTCTTCTCTGGAGTCTTCACCCCCTTCCCTGTGTTTCGAGACTCTTCCTCCTCACCACCACTCTCATCCCTCACATACCTGTGTTTGCCTCTCCTCTCCTCCTCCCGATTCTTCCTGCTCTTCTCTCCATCACTCTCATCATCATCTGACACGCCTCCTCGCCCTTTCTCCATCCGCTTACCCTTCTTCCACTCTTCGTCTCTCCGATCGCCGTGCCTTCCGGCCCTACCGCTGTCCCTGTCGCCCCTATCTCGATCCATGTGCTTTCCTTTACCCCTACTCTTCGCTCCACCATCGCTGTCCCCATCACTCTCCTCCCTCCGTCCTCTCTTCCTGTCATCGTCAGAATCATCCCTCTCGTTTCCTCCCCTCCTATCCCGCTCATCACCTCCCCGCCTATCCCTCTTCTCATCCTTCCTCCTCGTCTCCCTACCTCCCTTTCTCCTGACCCTCTCCACACTGCCATCATCAGCACTGTCGTTATCCGTATCATCCCTTTCCCTCTTCCGTCCACCATGACCCTCCCTTTTCATTTCACCTCGGTGCGTCCCTTGCCTCTCCTCGTCCTCACCATGGCCCCCTTCCTCATCACTACTCTGCCTCCTCTCCCTTCCCTTCTTCTTCCTCTCATCCCTCCCCTCCCTCTCCTTCCTTTTCCCTCCCTCGCTTTCTCCCCCCTCCTCCCTCTCACCATCCTTACCACTTCGCTTCGTCCTCTTCCCCTCCTCCCTTTCTTCGTCAGAATCACGCTCTTTTCGCCCTTCTCGTTTCTTCTCCCTCTCACGCCTCTTCTCCTTCTTCCCTTCCTCCTCCTCCTCCCCCCTCTCACGCCCCTCACGCCTATGCTTGTGCTCATGCCCATGTCGCCTTCCCCGTTTCGCCTTCTCATCCGTCTCCTCCCCCCCATCCTTCTCCTCTTCCTCCTCCCTGCCACTCTCCTCGCTATCCTCCCTCTTCCGGTACCGGCGTTTTACATCCCTCTCTTCATCTCGTCCTTTATTCCTCTTCTTCTCTTTCTCCTTCTCCCTCTCCCTCTCCTTCTCCCTCTCCCTCTCCCTCTCCTTCTCCCTCTCCCTCTCCTTCTCCCTCTCTCTCTCCCTCTCCCTCTCCCTCTCCCTCTCCCTCTCCTTCTCCTTCTCCTTCTCCTTCTCCTTCTCCCTCTCCCTCTCCCTCTCCCTCTCCTTTTCCTTCTCCTTCTCCCTCTCCCTCTCCTTCTCCCTTTCCTTCTTCCTTTCTTTCTCTCTCTCCTTCTCTTTCTTCCTCTCCTTCTCCCTCTCCTTCTCCCTCTCCTTCTCCATCTTCCTCTCCTTCTCCCTCTCCCTCTCCTTCTCTTTCTCCTTCTCCTTGTCCGCGCGCCTTTCCTCTCGCTTCTCCCTGTGTCTGTGCTTGTGCTTGTGCTCCTTACCCCACCCCTCCTCGTCATCTTCCTTCTCGTCCCCATCTTCAACCCGCTTCTTCCTTCCTCTCTCCTTCTCCTTTCCCTCAGACATCTTACTCTTCTCCTCCTCTTCGTCCTCTCCTCGTTCTCCCTCCCTACCTGAACCCTCCTCTCCCGTCTCCTTCCCCGGCTGCCTAGCCATCCCCCCGCCTGTCTCCCCAACCTCGCCCCTCAAATCATCCTCCCACTTCTCCTTCTCGCTCCCTTCCTTGTTCATATCTCCCCTACCGCTCCCCCCTCCATCCTCTCCGCTCTCCTCTCCTTGCCTCCCGTCCTCCACACCATGCTCCCCCTGAGCCTCTCCTTCGCCTCCAATTGCATTGCTTCCCAATTCACTCTTTCTCTCAACATTCTCTTCCTTTTCTTCCTTCTCTTCCTTCTCCTCCTCTACCTTCTCCTCTTCTTTCTCCTTCTCCTTCTCCTCCTCTTCCTTATCTTCCTCTTCCACCTGAGTGCCATCTCTTTCTCCTCTCTCCGCCTCCTCCCTCTCTTTCGCACCCACCCCTTTCCCCTCTTTCTCCCCTTCTTCATCCGCCTTCCCCTCACCCCCCTCCCTCCTCTCCTCCTCTCCCTCCATCTCCCCTCCACCCTCTCCCAACGCCCTCCTTTCTCCCCTCTCCTCCTGATCCTCTCCCTTCTCCCCACCTCCACCCCTCTTCTCCTCATCCTCCTCCTCCTCTTCCCGCTCCCTCCTCCTCCTCCGCCGCCTCCGATCCCTCTTCACAGCAGCAACATCAACCTCCTGCCCCTCGTCATCAATCACCCCAGCCTCCCTCAACTCCCCCTCCAGGCTCCTCACATGCTCGCGCCACAGCTCCTCCCGCTCGTGCCGAACCAGATCGCGGTACCGGTCCTGGTGCCGAAGCACGGACTTAGCATCGGGCCAGGAGGAGGCGAGGCGCAGCCCGTCCTCGCGAGCCTCGGAGATGGCGGCCACTGACAGCTCCTCCTCGAGCAACTCGCGAAACTCTCGCTGCACGCGCTGTTGGGGGGAGAGAGAGTGGGGGGGGAGGGGGGGGCGGACGAGAGATGTTTGAAGTCGAGTCAACAAGCGAGCCTCGGAGATGGCGGCCACTGACAGCTCCTCCTCGAGTAACTCGCGGAACTCTCGCTGCACGCGCTGTTGGAAAAGAGAGGGGGGAGAGATAGGGGGGGATGAGGGGAACGAGAGATGTTTGGAGTTGACTCATCAAGCAAGCCTCGGAGATGGCGGCCACTGAGAGCCCCTCCTCCAGTAGCTCGCGGAACTCCCTCTGCACGCGCTGTTGGGGGGAGAAAGGGGAGGGGAAAGGGGGGGGGAGTTTTGGGGGGGGGGGGGACGAGAGATGTTTTGAGTGGAGTCAACAAGCGAGCCTCAGAGATGGCGGCCACTGACAGCTCCCTCTGCACGCGCTGTTGGGGGGAGAGGGTGGAGGGGGAACGAAAGGGGATGAGGGAAAAGAACAAAAAATGGGAAGGGGATTTAAGTAGGGAGTGAGGAACGGGGGCTGATGCATTTTGAAGACAAAGGCTCGTGCGTGCTGTAAGCTGGATACGCCCTTCACCTGAATGCGCCTGTCACTCACCTTGATGAGGCGAGCCATGTGTTCGTAGAAGAGGTCCTGGCGGTCGCGGCTGGTGAGCTCCTTGCTGAGGCGAGCCATGTGCACGCCGTGACGTGACCTGAATGCGCCCTTTCACTCACCTTGATGAGGCGAGCCATGTGCATGCCGTGACGTGACCTGATGCACCACCCACCTTGATGCGCCTGTCACTCACCTTGATGAGGCGGGCCATGTGTTCGTAGAAGAGGTCCTGGCGGTCACGGCTGGTGAGCTCCTTGTTCCAATAGCACGACGCCTCGTCCTCCTCCAGCTTCTCCCGCGCGTCTATCCATGATATCTGCCACCACCCAGCGGCGGGCGAAGGAGGGGGGGGAGCAGCAGTGAACAATGAGCATGGAGGCGGCAGGAAGGACCGCCACAACCAGAGGGGGGGGGGGCGGGAGGTGGGAGCAGGCGGGCGGAGGGAGTAGCAGTGGGCGATCAGCACACAAGGGAATACATACATCACACGCGCGTGAAAGCGCAAGAAATCGATTGCTTCATGCAGAATGCTTGGAATCATCCCTTCCCCCACCAACCCCATCATCCCTTCCCCCACCAACCCCATCATCCCTTCCTTCCTCCCTCTCTCCCCCCATTTCCCCTCCTTTCCCCCCCTCCTCCCTTCCGCCCTTCTCCCCCCGCCCTACATTGGGCGTCTGTATCTCCCGGCGCAGCAGGTCCTCAAAGTCCTCCTTGGCCTCCCGGCGCCGCACGCGCGCCCGCTCCCTCTCCTTCTTCTCCTCCTCGCGCTGCCGCAGCCTCTTCTCCTCCCGCTCCTGCTCGCGCTTCCGCTCCTGCAGCCCGCAACCACAGAAACATCACAACACAGATTCCTTCTCTTTACAGCAGCAATCTCTTCATTAGGACAATAGCACAAGCCTCTGAGGCGATAGCGAGCTCTAGAACGAGTAGCAGGCGGCAGCAAGCACAGCAGAACAAGGGGGCATGCCACATAGTCCTCGTCCCCCATCCCCCACCCTTTCTCCCCCTTCCCCCACCACGCCACTCACCTCCTCCTCCCAGCGCCTGCGAGCCTCCCTCTCCTTCTCCTCCTCCTCGCGCTGCAATGTGTCCATGAACGTGTCAAACAGCCGCTTGCTGTCACTCATCAACAACTATAGTCGCCTCACAACTCACCTCCTCCTCCCATCGCCGGCGCGCCTCCCTCTCCTTCTCCTCCTCCTCGCGCTGCAGCCCGTCCATGAACGTGTCAAACAGCCGCTCGCGGTCCTCCCAGTGCTCCACCGCACTGTACCGCTCGTCCTCCTTCAACTCCTCCCGCAGCTGCGTGGGGGAAACGGAAGGGAGGGTGACGGGTGAGGAGGGAGTGAGAAGCAGAAGTGAGCTGGTTAGGTGGGGGACGGGGAAGGGATGATCCTTCCCAGACGCCCTGTTCGCTGTTCTTGCTGTGCTTGGCAGACGGGGAGGTGCAAAGAGTGAGGGTCACGTGTGCGCACCAATGACAGGGGCGAGTCTAGAGACTGATGATAGGAATGCAGTCAGCAGTGCAAGACTAGCATGCAGGGGTTCGGGTTTCACAATGCCTGAGCTTCACTGCTATGCAGTAGCACTAGCAGCAGCGTTTACCCAATGCGTGCAGTCAGCACAGCGACCGGGTTTTTCAGGCATCCCAGCATGTGTGGTTGTCCTTGAACCTGCTGCACGTGCCACACATGCCACGTACATGCCATGCCACCACGCATGCATGATACATAGTCTAGCCTAGCTTACAAACGCAGACCTCAAACCTGCTGAAAAGAGATTCTAGCATGTGATTCATTTTCCAACTGCGTTGTTTGAAAGCGCTCAATGTAGGAAATCAATCAAACCTGCTATAAGTCATGTTTATTAAGCTGACTGAAAAAAGCGCCTCTGCCAAACATGATTGTTCAACACGCACCACCAACAGTGCGAAAACACGTGCTATGTGCAATTTGAACTGCGCAGCTGATAGATCGTGTGAAAGATCAAATCGTTATCTTCTTTTATTTGCTTTGTGCAGTTAAGTGTAAAAGAGAGTTACCTTGGACCAGCGGGAGGAGAGCGCGATGTAGCGCTTGCCACGGTACTCTTTCAGCATCTCCACAAACGCTTCTTCTGCCGCCTCCTTGCGCTGCTGCTGCCTCTCCTCCTCCAACCGCTTCAGCGGCACCACCCTGCCGTGATGAGCGTGCATGGTCGAGAGAGAAAGCACGGTGCATGGCAGAGAGAGACACACACACATGCTTGGAAGTGAGGGACGAACGAGGCACCACAATGCGGCGTGGTTGCATCCTAAGCCAAACCCCAAGAGGCTCAGCTCACGCTCACAGGGCCGGGAGGGCTGTTGCTTGGTTCTGCCTGACAGTTGCAGCAAATGTGCAGCTCCTACATTCACTCTCAAGACTCTCTGGTTATTTAGTCGACTCAAGTATTGCGCCGCCCCTAAGCCTGTGATGGCACAATTCTCCAGTCGCCCCTACAGCCACACTCAAGATGGCTGGATGCCCCATGCAGCTGCCGATGCATCATACCCGTGCAGTGTGTATTTTCATCTTGATGATCTCCAGGAACAACCTTTCCGTTACCGGAAGGGCCTTAGAATGCAACGAAATTAGGAACATTTCAGGGAGAGGAACTTTACACACGCGGTGGGTCAGGTGAGAGGGAAGGGAGAGTCAGAAGGCTGTGATAGTGCCTATAACGTTTGCTCTGGCTGCTGGCCTGCAGAGGGGAAGGATTATTGGCAGAAACTGACGTGGCAGCAGAGCAGTGGGCACAGTGCACCAACACCTATCAGATCTTATACATATATATGCTGAAGAGCAGCCAAGGCTGAAAACGCAACAACATTTGAAGCCTTTTTAAAAAAGGAAAAAAACACGAGACACAAAGGAGGACAAAACTACCACTGTTTCTGGGAGCAACGATGACATGTCTCTGAAAGAAAAGACGACAAGGCTCCAGAAACAAAGGTGACATGGTTGTGAGGGCGGGCCACACAGGGTTCACTTTCTGTTCATAGCGGTTCATTACGATGCAGTGCAATTTAGAGCACTTTGCTTGCTTTACCCCGCTTTCAACTGCTACTAACCAGGCTGGACAGTGATGCATGAGCTGCCCTAAGAAGTATGCATGACCCGCCCTAAGAACAAAGATGGCATGGCTCTAGAGGCATAGATGACAAGTCTATGGAAACAAAGATAACGTGCTATTGAAAAAAGAGATGACAGTGCTCTAAGAAACAAATATGAGAAAATTATGGAATCCAAGAAAGCATGGTTATAAAAGCAAGATGACAAGACCATGGAAGCAAAGATGGGCATGGTTTTGAAAGCACAGATGACATGGTTGTGAAAGATAATAAGACTCATGTGCGCATGGAAGCAAGAAAGGGAAGTGGAGTCCGGCAGGAGAAACAATTACCATTGAATCAATGTTACATGTGTTTCTCCTGCCGGATCTATTTTGTTCTTATTGCACAGCATTTTCCAGAGAGACTTCAAGCAAGCACCATTCAATCCTTTGCAACAATGCATCAACCAAAAATGTGCAATTGCATACAACAAGCTCAATGAGTGCTGGGATGGGAACAAAGGGAATGCGGCCACTGACAAGAGTCTATAAAGCAGGCATGGAAGGTAATTGATGAGGCCAAATAGGAAAACGAGGATCAATCAATTCTCACTTTACAAAGGGGTTTATTATCAATATGCTGCATCTTGAGCTGTGAAGGTCTTGACAACTGTGCAACTTACACTACTGCGGTTTCCAGATTCGAGTCATATGTGAAGTCCACAAGATGTTACGTTCACAGCAGAACAAAGAAGATCGATGTTTTTTTCTTCTCGATAATCATTTGTAAAGACTACATCCGACCTGGGTTGCTTGAAAAAACAATTCGTTTTGCCCTTACTGCCTGCTCAACGAGAACGCGAGTCCACTGCTCCAAACTAAAACACTCGACTCGAGATATGGAAGCATGACATCGTTTGTTGGAAGTGGGAGGCAAAACGGGCAGACAGGAGAAAGAGAAAAAGAGGGGGGGACGGGGAGGGGGGGGGGGGAGGGAAGGAGGGCGGGGGGGGTCGTACCGCTCATTGAGGAGTGCGAGGCGGTCCTTGTCCTCCAGCGCTGCGGCCAGCAGGCGCGGGTCAGAGCCCCACTTGCCATCGCCCTGTAGCGTTTCCACCGTTGACTCATGTGTCAGGTCCTGGGATGAGGTGGGAGGGCATGGAGAGAGGGGAGAGAGTGAGTCGGCGGACAGGATACAGCTTGTGGGACATTGCCCTCTAGCATGCCCACAAGTGGCTTCGTGCGTTAGTGGGCACGTGGGGGGGGGGCACGGAGTGGGTTGGGTTGGGTTGAGGGGGGTGAGACAGGATGCATCAGGTCCTGGGGGGTGTTAGGGCACAGCAGAAGGAGTAATTGGCCTGGGAAACAGAGTGAGTCGGAGACAGGATGCAGCCTTTGGAGATTTAGTTACACATTGGCATCACAGTCGGTCCATTTTCCCACTCGGCCCCAATTGACTCTGCGCTCTGCCATTTCCGCCCGGCCGTTTCAAAGGCCTCAACGGCCGCCTTGATAGACTTTTGAGTCGACTCAAAAGTCGCCACCGCCCCACCCACCCGCAACAAACCCCCCAGTTCCGCCGCCCCCTCTCCCCACCAGTTCCGCAAAACGCAAAAACCCTTAATGCTCTTTTGAAACCCTGACTCACCCCGCTCTCCTCCATCTCATCCAGCAAGACTTTGAACGCCTCCACAGCCGCCTTGTGTGCCGACCGCTTCTCCTTGCGCTCCGCCGTCGCCCGCGTGCGCACAAACTCCTCAAATATGGCCCGCCGCTCTGGCAGTGATGGGATGGCCTGCACGTGAAGCATGGAAAGAAAGGGGTATCGAAATTCATGTGCGCTCCGCCGTCGCCCGCGTGCGCACGAACTCCTCGAATATGGCCCGCCGCTCCGACAGCGAGGGGATGGCCTGTCACGACAGGGAGGGAAAGTGGGATAAGAATCCACATAGTGAAAGTGATAACACGAATCCATGTGCGCTCCGCTGTCGCCCGCGTGCGCACAAACTCCTCGAATATGGCCCGCCGCTCCGACAGCGAGGGGATGGCCTGCCAGCACGACAGGGAGGGGAAGTGAGATAAGAATCCACGGCACGAAGGGAAAGTGGTTTATGACTCCATGTGCGCTCCGCTGCTGCGCACAAACTCCTCACTGATGGCGCGCCTCTCCGGCAGTGTTGGGGTGGCCTGCAAGGGAAACAACGAGTCGAATGGCATCACTTCCCACACAAATATACAGAGCACGGACAAGAGGTCTACGTGCCCTCCACTGGTGCCGTGTGACAGACGCCAGCGTCCGAACGCTGGACACTCCAGCTTTGGAGCGTCAGGTGCAACATAGATTCTAAGTACTAACAACGGCCCTTGCTTCCGGTGGAGCGGTGATGGGGGCTGGGTAACACGAGGCAAGCGGGAAGAGGCAAGCAGGAGAGCAGTAACAAGGTGCAATATGCAGCATGGCGCTCACCTTGTAGCGCGCGTCGAAGATGAGTTTGGGCAGCTCTTTCTCCCACTTGGAGAATGGCGCCACTCCCTTCTCCTTCAACATCTCCTGTTGCCCCCAACACATGGTGGCGTCACATGCGCCACGCACAGGCAGAGGAGAAACACTGAGAGTGGTACATAACAGGCATGCACTGTGTGGATTGCTGAGACAGGCTCGCGAAACCACACATTGCAATAAACATTTGCTCTTTTTGTGTAGTCGTTCGACGGAAGGATGGCAAGGGGGAACGGAGTAACCAGAGGAAGATTAAAAAAAAAAAAAAAAACTAAACAGAAGTGTTAGTGCTCCCTTTCAGGAGGACAGAATCAAAGAGAGGAGAAGCGAGGAGAGGAGAAAGCGAGGTGACTAAGCGAGTGCAAAGTCCAAAGGTTGGTGGCAGGTTCCATTACGTGAATGCAAAGAATAAGAGGTCATGTCATGCTGCACGTGACAATGCCACCAAATGTTGCACCACTCCATGCCACGCCATGCCACCCCGTGTTTCACCATGCCATGCCACGCTTCACCACGCCACACCAGACCACACCACACCACACCACACCACACCATGGCAGAACGTACACGAAACTTCATCGCCCTCTCTTCCAAGCTCAGGTCTTCCAGTGGAACCTCCGCCCCGCCCTTCTCCTCACTCCCCTTCTCCTCACCCTCCTTCTCCCCACCGCCCTTTTCCCCGCCCTCCTTCCCCTCCCCTTCCTTGCCCTGTGCCACGTCTCCACCACCTTCCCTCTCCCCTCCACCATCCTCTCCCCCGTCCTTGCCTTCTTCGCCCTCCTTCTCCCCATTGACTGCCTTGACTCCCTTGACCTCCTTCCCATCCCCACCCTGTGCTCCTGCACTGCCCTTTCCACTCTTGGTCGTCGCAGCAGCAGCAGCAGTTGGAGCAGCCACGCCAGCAGCAGCAGCTGCTGCTACGCCCGCCTTCATCTCCTTGTCCGCGTCCTGAGGGGAAGGGGGGGGAGATACGGGAAGGCTTGTTAACTTCTTTGTTATTGCTAAGCTTTTGGTTCGGGTGAACCAGGGGGTAGAGGCGAGTGCACTGACACGAGGAGACAGCGGATGGGAGCGGGAGCAGGGTTTGGAGACGGGAAGCAGGGACCGAGGCACAGCACAGAGGCATGCAACCTGAAGGGACAGACCATTCCCTGATCTCACTAGCTTCCATCCCTGCAATCTCTCCCACCATTTCCACCCCCCGCACCCTTTCAATCCTATTACACCAGCCTCTCGAACCCTCCACCCTCCCCCTCTCCCCGTCCCCCTTCCCCCCACCTGCAGCTTCTTCTTCACCACCTCCAGCGCCGTCGCCTTCCCCAATGCTGCTGCGCCCGCCTTCAACCCTAATCTACCACCCGCCCTCCCCCTCCTCCTACCCCCATCCCCCACCCACCTGCAGCTTCTTCTTCACCACCTCCAGCACCGTCGCCTTCCCCCCTGCTGCTGCGCCCGCCTTGCCCGCCGCAATTAAGATAAGATCGTAATACCTCCTACCCCCATCCCCCAATCACCTGCAGCTTCACCACCTCCAGCGCCGTCACCTTCCCCAATGCTGCTGCGCCCACCTTCAACCCTAATCTACCACCCGCCCTCCCCCCCCCCCCCCCCCCAGCAATCACCTGCAGCTTCTTCTTCACCACCTCCAGCGCCGTCGCCTTCCCCGCTGCTGCTGCGCCTGCCTTGCCCGCCGCCCCCGCGCCCCCCCGCCCTGCCAGCGAGAAGGAGAGCTTGCTGGCGGCGCGCGCCCGCTCCTCCTCCTCCGCCTCCTGCCTCTTCCGCACCTCCTGCACCTCCCCCGGCACCTGCCAGCTCGTGTCCTGGCGCACAGTAGGGAGGGGTGGGGAGGAAGGGGGTGGGGAGGGTGGAAAGGGTGGGGAACGGGGGAGAGAAAGATGAGGTGGATGAGGAAGGGAGGGAAAGGGAAGAGTGGCGGAGTGGGAGTAAGGGGAGAGGATGGGATGGCGATGAGACTGAAGGCAGAAAAAGCAGAGAAGAGGGACGGCAGGGCATCGATTGGCGTGAGAGTGGTGCACAAGGGAGTGACTGACCTGCGTGGCGGTGTTGTAAAAGTACTTCTTGCCATCACTCGTTGACACCAGCGCCCAGTCCGTGCCCTGCACTCGCTCCCTGTCACCCACATACATGCACACAAATGCACACAGGCACGCACACGCATGCACACGCAGACAGAGCCGAAAGCATAGACATGAACGCGCAGACACCTAAGCAAGGACACGCACATTGATAGGCACTTCTTCTTAGGCTGCATAAGAAATACACGCGCCAGGAGAGCGCGGTGATGAAACCGCCTATTCTATTAGTCTCCCTGCCATCACGTCATGCTCTCCCTACCACAGCACCATGCCATGCTGCTCACCATGCGACGGGAGTGGGCTGCTTCTCCACCTTGTCCTCCTGCACACACGCACATACACGCACGCACACACGCACATACACGCACGCACACACGCACGCACCCGAGGGGAGAGACAGGTGCTTACACATAGGCAGAGAGGCGGACATTAACAAATGTGCGGAGGAGCAGAGAGCTGCAAGGCAGGCGGGTGGGCAGAGGGCGGAGAGGGCGGGGAGGGCGGATTAGGGCGGATTAGGGCGGAGAGTGCGGGGAGGGCAGGGAGGGGCGCGGGGGCACCTGGAGTTTGAAGCCTTTGGGTTTATGGTAGGTGGAGCGGCCAGTGACAGTGTTGTAATAATACACCGTGCCCTCCTCCGTCTTATTGATGTAACTTTTGAAGTCACATCGACATACCTGCAGCTTGAAGCCTTTAGGCTTGTGGTAGGTGGAGCGGCCGGTGACAGTGTTGTAATAATACACCGTGCCCTCCTCCGTCTTATGCGCCGTCCACGCCTCCACTCCCTCCTCCGCCTCCTCCTCCTTCTTCTCTTCCTTCCCCTCCTTTACCTCCTTTCCCTCCTTTCCCTCCTTTCCCTCCCCCTCTTTCTCCTTGGTTGCTTCCTCATTCCCCTCTCCTTGCTTCCCCACTCCTCCCTTCTCATCCCCCTCTCCCCCCTCCTTGTCCCCACCACCTTCTTCCGCTCCCCCGCCTTCCTTCCCTTTCTCCTTCTCCTCCTCCTTTTCCTCCACCTTCTCCTCCACTTTCCCCTGCGCCTCCCGGTCCCACCTCGACTTCTTCCCCCCCTTCACCCCTCCGCCTGCGCCTTTCCCCGCGCCCTTCTTTCCGCCCTTCTCCCAGGGGAGCTCTTCCCCCGCGGGGAGCGGGGGGCCGCCGCCGGAGATCACAGCCGCCATGGCGGCGGCCGCCTGCAGCCACGCGGGGGGAAGTGGGGGCTGCGGCGCGAGCGGGGGGTTGGGCCTTAAGGTGATGGCGGCGGGAGGGGTGGGGGGAGCTGCAGCAGCCGGGGGAGGCGCAGGCGCAGTGGCAGCAGCGCCAGTCGCAGCGGCTGTAGCAGCAGTTGCAGCTGCCGCAGGAGCGTCAGGAGCGGCAGGGGCAGCGGCAGGCGCGCCAGGAACGGCGGCAGCGGCGGCAGCGGATGCATCCGGCGCGGCAGCAGCGGGGGAAGGAGCTCCAGTCGCCGCAGTGGCTAGCGGTTGCGCCTCTGCTGCTGCTGCAGCTGCCGTTGGTACCGCTGCTGGCGGCATACCGTTTGGTATTTCTCCGGCTACTCCACCCGCCGCTGCTGCTCCGGCGGGGAGCGGCGGAGGAGGGGGGCCGGGAGTGAGCAGCGGCGGCGCTCCCCCCGGGTAAAACCCTTGCTGCGCGGCAGCTGGAGCCGGGGGAGCGCCGTGGGGAACGGGAGGCGCAAAAGCCGGAGGAGGCGCAAAAGGCGAAGGGGGAGCGTGAGGCAGGGGGTGGGGTGGGGCGGACCCCGGAAGCGCGGGGTACTGCGGCGCATGGGGCGCTGCTGGGCCGTGCGCCATTCCCTGCGCGGGGTACGGCGGGTGGTGAGGCCCCGGCGGCATCCCCGGCCCCTGCGCGCGCATCTCTGCCGCGGGGGGCGGCGCGCCGTCCGCCACTGCCGTCACGTGCCACACGCCCGGCACCGCGCGCGCTGGCTGCTGCGGCGACTGTTGCTGCTGCGGCGGCGGATGCGGGGCATGCGGCGGCGGCTGCTGGAAATGCTGCGGGAAATGCGGCCCTTGCTGCTGATAAGGCGGCCCCTGCTGCTGATATGGAGGCTGATGCGGCTGGTTCGGCGGCGGATGCGGCTGGTTCGGCGGCGGATGCGGCTGGTTCGGCGGCTGATGCGGCTGGTGCGGCGGCTGATGCGGCTGATACTGCAGCGGATACTGCTGCTGCGCCGGCGGCGGCGACTGCGGCTGGTACTGCTGCTGGTGCTGATACTGCTGCGCGTGGTGCGGCGGCGGCGGTGGTTGGTGCGGCGGCCCCTGAAAGCCGCCCTGCGCATGTCCTGCCGCGTGACCTCCCCAAGGCGGCGCCCCCCCGGCTGGCGGAACTCCTTCGGGCGGGCCTGGCGGAAAGCCCCCGTGCGGGTTCTGCGGAGGGCCTCCCCCGTAGGGCGGAGGGGGTCTTGCATAAGCGCCATGGGCGGATTGCGGAGAAAAAGGAGAATGCGGCGGATGGGGGGGATGCGACGGACCGGGAAACCGCGGCCCAGGCGAGCCCATCCCACGTGGAAACGGCATGCCAGGTGGCACATGTCCAGGAGGTCCACGTGGCGCGAACCCGAGAGAGCCCGGTCCGGAAGGTCCACGTGGACCAGGACCAGGTGACATGTGGTCTGGAGGTCCACGTGGTCCAGGTCCGGGTGACGCCGTGCCGCACGCTCCAGGTGGTCCGTCAGGTGGTCCGTCAGGTGGGCCCCTCACAGGTGGACCCATGCCAGATGGGTCCAGCCGGGGATAAGGTGTTCAGTCACTGAAAAAAAATGCACGGTGTCACCAAGGCTTCAATATAGAGAGAGGGTCGGCGAGCAATCCCGGAGGAGCGACAAATGCAGCTGAATGATCAGATCTAGGTTTAAGAAGAGATATAATATCTCGAAAAAAAGGGATAGAAGTGCCGAGTTAGTACGCGGTAAAATGTGGAGGAGCGGGAGTGGGAGCTAGAGAGCGAGACGAGGAGGAGATAGTGAACAAGGCGGAAGCGCGAAGGAGAACAGGCCGAACGCGGACCACGATTTCATGGATTGAACTGAAAGACTTTACACGTACACAAAGATTCTACCTGTCACCATATACTGTATGAATAGTCAAGCACAATGCTCCAGCTCCGACGCAATTTTCTGTTTGATCCACGATTCTTTGGAGAAAACGCGTTGTGGAACATGAGAGCTTCTACTGTACGAGGATGAATGGAGAGCATGGTTTGGAGGAGGCGAGGTGAGGTGAGGGAGGGAGGGGCAGCCGGCTGTAGCTGCGAACCACAGTCGTCGATCGTCGTTAGTCGCACGATGATCGTCTGCGACGCCGTCCATTTGTCTCGCTGGTTCCATCGCAACATTTCTGACCAATCACCACCACCTTATCCGCTGCATAACTGGTGACTCCATAACGAGAGCATCAGTGAAGCCATTAGGAGTAGTAAATTGTGCATTCAAGCACAACAAATGTATACTCATCAATCAAATGTTCTAAGTAGACCAAGCAAAGCTGTGAACTAAATTAGATTTACAGTTCTGCATAGAACCAGATCATGGCAGCAGCAGCAGCGGTGATACTGGTACAAGAATATCCCGCTAACTTTATCACCCGGTACCCCCTGAGCAACTACTAACAAATCAAGCCAGATTGAGGTCCCAGGTCTGGTGCCAAGACCAGCACTGTCACATGCTTGAAGGCATTCCTGCATGACCCATAAACGCTGCATACACGACAGATGCTACACTCCAAGAACTCCCCCTGACACCACTGTGTACGTAACTATGGCATGGCAAGCAAGGCATGGTGTGACAGGCATGGGACCAGCTGCATTAAAGGGCTTAGAGTCACCACCGCAGGTGCTCCTGTCACCTGACAACTGCCTGGTGCCCCATCTTAGCAGAGAGTGCATCGAAATACCCCACCATCTGGTCCCGCTTGTCCAACACCCTCTCCATCTCCCCCGCCGTCAGTGCGCCACCCATCTCCTCCAGCAGCTGCGCGCGATTCATTCTCCTCAGGCGAGTCAGGACAAAACCCGCCACCGTCTTCAGTCTGCCGCCCACTCCCGTGCCGCGCTTGGACCACATGGCGTGCAGGCCGGCGCCGAGCGAGGGGCCCATGGGGTGCGAGAGCACTACGGGCGAAAGCTTGCCGTCCCCGGACCAGTGCTGGGCGGCGAAGAAGCCGGAGGGGCGGCGGAGGGAGGAGCCCATGAGGGCATCGAGAATGCGGATGCTGCTGATCACCGTGTGCGCCTGGGTGGGCGCACGCAGGCGCTGGAAGGAGGGCGGAAGGGGAGGGTGGGGATGATTTATGAGCTGGGAAGGGGAAATTCATTGGCCATGGGGGAACACAGGGAAGTCACAGAAAGAAAATTTGCAAGCAAGGTATGGAAAAGGCAAAGCGGAATCGGGACTCACGGAGGGGTGTACGGAGGAGAGAGGGTGCAGGAGGTGCGGCAGCAGCGTCATGGTGCCCTGCGCGAACCGCCGCGACCCCAGCTGCACGCCCTGTCGCACCGCCACTGGCGGCACCACGTCCACCCCCAGCACGCGGGAGAGCTGCGCGGGGGGAAGGGGGAGGCGGAGAGGGAAAAGGGGAGGCAGATAAGGGGGAAGAAGAGGGGAAGGCGAAGATGGGGACAATGCAAGCGCATGCCTCTCGAAGAAGTAGCGACACGAGTAATGAATTCAAAATAATAAAATAAAATAATAAGAACGAAAGAAAGACACTAAAGCACGTCGGTCCAGCTTACCTTGTACGCGACCCACTCCGCAGGGGCGCGCTGGAATCGCAACCTCGCGTCGCCGCCAACCACGGGCCGGTACAGCGCCTGCACCGTCTTCTCGCCGTCAGCCCCGTCGCCGGCCGCGAGATTGACCACGTAGAGCGGACGGAACGGCGTGGATCCGAGCTCGCGGCCCGCCATCCTCCAGCTGACGATCCTGCCCGTCGATAGCAGGTCCACTAGCTCCCTCTCCTGCTCCCTCTGCTCCTGCGTCAGCACCTGATCCTCCGCCTTTTCCGGCGTAATTTGCGGTGTTAGTAGGGAGTCAGTCGGCTGCTGCGCTACGGAGGCGGCAGTTGGCGCGGGCACCAGTGACTGTTGGGCCGCGGATGAGACGGCTTCTGCTGCTTTGCGCTGCGCCTTTTGGTCCAACACGAGGCACGTACGCGCTATAGCGCGCGTCGCCATTGCCATAGTGCGCTCCGTGTACGCGGCACGGTCCACCAGGTCCGCCGCTCGGACAGACGCCGTTACAGTCACGACCGCCGTTTGCGTTTCCTCGTCGAACCGAATCGAGGCGCGAGTACACGTCAGCGCGTCCATCTGCTGCACGTCGAGCTGCTGCTCGCTTGCGGGAATTCTGGCGGCACTTCCGGAAGGAGAGAAACCCGAGAAAAGGGTGGAGAGGCTCTGGGCTGAAAAGGACGAGGGAGAGAGAGGGACTGAGGATGCATCCGGCGGCGAGGATGCGTCGATGTCAATCGGAACGTCTAGATCAACGGTTGGGATGCTCCCAAGGTCGAGTTTGATCTGCTGTGAAACGAAGACTTGCTGTTCCTCCTCCACCTTACCGCCATTCGCATCGACATCAAATTGTAATTCGTTTTCTCTATTGTCTGATACACTATCCGTATTCCCGGCAGCAACACCGGGAATACCCGCCGCATCTCCCGCTGTAGGTGGATAGACGGTTACCGACGTCTCAACTTCAGCTGCCCGCGTCTTTATCTTATAAAGAATGTGCTTAAGCTTCGAGAGCGTCGTTCGCGCCTGCGACTCGATGCGGTCGACGCCAGTTTCCGAGGCGCGCGGGCTCGACGGCTCGATGAGGCCCTCGTCGAGCGGCTCGGGCACGGAGATGGGAGCAACGGACGGCGGGGGGAGAGTGTCGGTTTCATCTGTGGGCACCTGGAGCGATCCCTGCCGTTCGATGGTCAGTGACGACTGCGGCGACGGTTTCTCGTCGCACACGCCCAGCGACCCTTGCCGTTGGAGCGCCTTAGGTGACTGCTCCGTCGCACCGCCGGTATTAGTGACCCCGGATTGGGCCGCAGCGCGTACGGTCAGGAGACGCGCTCCCTGGAATTTCCGGCGAGGAGAGGCGAGGAAGGGTCTGTGAGAGCGGGCGTGGGAGAGAGGCGCGATGCTTAAAGCTGTGTATGCGGAGAGAGCGGAGGATGAGGACAACGCGGAAAGGGAGGAGGCGGAGGAGATGCGGCGGAAAGGGGAGGCGGAAAGAGATGAGGCAGATGAGACGCGGCGGAACGAAGAGGCGGAGCAGCGCAGCGCGATAGTTGCCGCGCGGCGGCGCAATGGGAAGCCGACACGCGGAGAGGGACGCAATGAGCTGCCAGCCCGTGGAGAGACGAACGCGGTGGCTCCGAGAGTAGCGACTGTTGCGACAGGCAGAGCGCGCGACGCTGCCATGGCTGATGTCGGTTGAGCCAAGGCGCTTAGAGCCTGCACTGATTCTTGGGCTGCGCCACAGGGGGGAGATACGCCCAGTGTGGTAAAATGCAAGTGCGGGTTTCTAGACTCGCTGAGATTATTAGTCTAGATAGTAAAACAGCAAAGAAGACTGAGAGGGGAGTTGCTGTTGGAGCTAAATGTGGGTGGAGGGGGGACATGTGAGTGCAAATGCGCGTGCGAGAAGGTGAGGGAGGAGATGCGGCGTGGCGGAGGGGAGGAGACGAAGAGCAAGGGCGCAGCGCAGCATCCCAGAACAGCACGCGCGGGGGAAGTTGGAAATGCTGAGAGGCGGGGAGGGGGAATCCCGCGAACGATTGCCACTTGGAGGTCTGCTTGAAATCCAGACTCGAAGCAGGGCCGGAGAGGCACGCACGACACGAGCCAAGAATTGATCCGGTGGTGGCGAGGCGACAAGGATTGCAGCCAATAGGAGCAGCGGTGCAACGCAATTGGGCGAAAGCGAGGTGAGGCGATTGCCGTTCTCATATCCGTTCGTCAAATGGAAAACGTCGCACGAAGAGGCCGGTGGATTCGCCACCCCTCGTCCTCTCGCCAGGTTCCTCCTGTCATCGTGGAAGAACTGAATGTGAGCCCAGGTTCTTGTAACGGGAAGTGAATTTGGTGGCTTGCATTGGTCCCGACTCCTGGACCAGAAGAATCTTCGAGGCTGACCTGGTTCCAACCATAAAGCCTTGCCATCTACACGTTAGACGAAACGAGAGCCGCACATGACTGTGCATGAACGTAGGACCAATATTGGCGACAGTGGGGAGTGACAGCTGGTTGGAAAGAAAAATAGGTACAGGGAAGAAAAAGCAAGTTTTGAACCTGACGTGAATCGAACACGCAACCTACGGATCTGGAGTCAGACGCGCTACCATCGCGCCACTGTTGTTGATTGACATTCTTGATTGGTTGACAGCAGCTGTTTCATCAAAGAATGCCATGAAAATAAACGAAAGCATTATGAACATACAGCAGCAACTTGCGACACAGCAACATCCTTCCGAAAATACACGGTATCAGCTGGTTCATCTGTGCTTCCAGTTCACAGGGATGCCCTTAACCACGATCCATCAGCCTCAGGGCTCTCCTCTTCCTTTGCCCCTTCCACTGCAGCTCCCACTGGCTCGTTCGTCTTTGCCTCAGCAGCACCGCCTACTGCTTCATCCTCCTTTGCTGCCGGTGCAGGCCGGTTCTTGCAATACCTGTCAAGCCAGTTGGACTGCTCTGCAAGCACGTGTAACAGCGACTCACGCGCGCGGTAACCATGTCCCTCGTGCGGTAACAGCACCATGCGGGTGGTTACACCATGGCCCTTGAGTGCTGCGAAGAATCGCTCCGTCTGATTGGGTAGCAGGTGAAGGGGTTGGGGTGAGGGCAACAGGGGTGAGAGAGGAGTTGGAATGATTTGAGTGAGCGCACAGAGGTTGATGCCACACACGCGTGAGCATGATGCGAGTCCTTATGCGTGAACGTGAACACTACACCATGCAGCCAGCAGCCAGAACTCATGTGCGCGATGGCCATGCACATACACCCTGCAGAACATCAGGCAAGCACCATACATGCCCTCACCATACATGCCTTACCAGACAAGCCTTAACCACACATGCCCTCACCATACATCCACCCACATCCTGAGCACGCACGCCCTGACCGCCCACACCACGCCCTTCCACCACGCTCACGCCATGGAGCCCTGACCTGCATGGGGAAGGTGCCATGGTGCCCCTACCTGCATGAGGAAGGTGCCATGGTGCCCCTACCTGCATGGGGAAGGTGCCATGGAGCCCGTACCTGCATGGGGAAGGTGCCGGTGTTGTTGTCGTCCTGGCCGTGCACGAGCAGAATGGGCGACTTGATGCGGTCGGCGGCCAGGAAGGGGCTCATTGTCATGTACACCTCGGGCACCTGCCACAGCGTGCGCTCCTCCGACTGCAGCGAGGGCGGGATGAAGGGAGAATGGGGCGAGGAAGGGGGAACGAGAGGGGAGTGCGGGATGAGATGAGCGGGGGCAAGAGAATGCTTTCCATGGCCTTTTGTACCATGCACGCACTCACTCTGCACTTTGCACTCTGCATACCATGCCGCGCACATCACATGCACACCAAACACTGCACTGCTGACACTGCCCTCTGCACTCCTCGCACTGCCCTCTGCACTCCTCACACTGCCCTCTGCACTCCTCACACTGCCCTCTGCACTCCTCACACTGCTCACACCGCACAGCGCAGCCCACCTGGAAGGAGAAGGGCGTGAGCGTGCGGTTGTACGCGCCGCTCTGAGCGATCGCACACGCAAACAGGTGCGGCGCGTGCGCAAGCAGGTTAGCAGCCATGAACGCCCCATACGAGTGACCTCCAATCGCGATCCTGTCCCGCTGTGCCACGCCGCGCCCCACCACCTCATCCACCGCCGCCTCTGCACTCGACACCAGCTGCTCCACGAACCGATCGTTCGCCTCCACCTCTCCCTGCCCAATTATGGGCATTGATGGGCCACTCAGCACCGCGTAGCTGCACAGGGAGTGATGGGGGGGGAGGGAGGGGGAGGTTATGCCGCGCCCCACCACCTCCTCCACCGCCGCCTCTGCACTGGATACCAGCTGCTCCACGAACCGATCGTTCGCCTCCTCCTCGCCCTGCCCTATGATGGGCATTGATGGGCCACTCAGCACCGCGTAGCTGCACAGGGAGTGATGAAGGGTGGTAGAAGGATGAGGCGTGCAGAGAAGACGACGCACCTGTCAGGCACCTCAAAAAAGACGGCACGGAACATGCAGAGAAAAAGAGGTTGCTGTAAGAGATACTTCGCTTGCTAGAGCAGACCCAGGCTGTTCATCAACATAGCACCCATGCGCAAGCACAAAGTGGTCATTTGAAATGAAACAAGCCAAAGACCTTACCCTCTAGCAAGGAAGAGCAGCGGTGAAGACGCCCCAATCCCCGGGAATTGATTAGGTGAGCCCTGCACCTGGCCGGCGGCCTCCTTGCTCTTGTACTCCCTGGGGTACGCCCACAGCACCGTGGGCAGCGGGCCGTCTGTAGCGGGGTTGTAGCCGGGCGGCAGGAAGAGCTTGGCCGTGAGCTGCACACCGTCGGATCGCGTGTAGCGGATGATCTCCTTGGAGAGGCCGCGGAGGGATGGGTAGGGGTGGGGGAAGTTCGTCAGCTGCACCTCTGACCCGTCCGCCCACCTGGTGGTGTGGGGTGGGGAGGAGGGAAAATGAGGGGAGAGAAAGAGAGATAGAGAGAGGAGGCATTGGGGGAAGGGCAGGAGTGTGGGGCGGAGGAGGTGGAGGAGGAATTGGCAGCAGCAACCAGAAGAACTGGCGGTGATGAATCAGACAAAAGCATGCACCCGTGCATGTGTGTGTGAGTGTATTCAGCCCCACAGACACTACAGCAGCACGCACCTCCTGACTAACGACTGTGGCGGATCGTCTTTCGACTCGCGGGATAGAATGAGCTTCAGGTCGTTGAGGTCAATGGGTCCCTCCTCCTGGTCGCCCAGCAGCGAGTACATGGTCTCAAAGTACTTCTCCGTATCGCTGCGCCACACACGCTCCTTCTCCCCCGTCTTCCAGTCAAACAGGTCAAGGAACGGCACGTTGCCCTCCGGGCTCGCGCCGTCCCCGGCTAGCAGCAATCGCAGCGCGCCATCTGGCATCCGAACCTGAGCTAGAACGTAGGTCCCCATGCTGGTTCGGCGCAGGAGCGGGCCGCCAGGGTCGGAGTACCGGTCCTCGTAGGACCGGTTGAAGATGAGCTTCGGCGGGGGACGCTGGTCTGGGGGAAGAGGTCCGGCGGCACCGCCCGGGGCAATGGCCCAGGTTCGGGTCCGGCGAGTCTTGAACCAGCTCTCATAGACAAGTGCCAGACCCTCATCACCCCACGTGATGCCTCTGAGGGGTGGTGACACAGGTAGGCAAGAAGGCAATGGAGGGATGGAGGAAATGGAGTGCATGCATACATGCAGACACTTCAGAATATTCTCAATAGTGATTCCAACTTAGCATGCTGAACGATCAAGACAGTATGCACCACATGCTTGTCATTGCTATCTCTCCACCGTCTGCCCACGCACGCATGCATGCACGCACCCGTAGCGCAGGTCGAGGCGGCAGAGCTCCTGCGGCTGCTGACCGGGTGCAGGGTCAGCTGGCAGTGTGTACACGATGTCCCGCGGAGAGGCGTCCACCTTGGCATCTCCCCCGTCCTGCGTCTCCACCCTGCCAGGACGATATGCCAGGGGGGCAGGTAGCAGGGGCGAGAGCAGGGGCAACGCAGCAGGGACGAGAGGGGGGCAAGGCAGGAGGCAGCAGGCAGGAGAAGGATGCCAAGTGGGGAAGGAGCGAGGTGAATGGCAATAGAGCATGCCTGAAGAAGCATAGAACACGCTGTTCCTTGTGAAGCAGTAATTGGTTCAACATGAGTTTTGAGACGTCGCAAAACTCGAGCTGCTCTTCAGAATTCTCAAAATGAGCAAGCCACGCCCAGCACTAGCTTTCAATAGCTTCCCACCCACCAGTAGAGGCGGTTGGGCACGTCAGGACGCCAGTTGATGCTGCGGCGGCCTGTCCTGACGGAGTTGAAGGTCACGGGGATGTTGTCCGCCAGTGGTAGGTCCGCCACCAGCTGTGGGATGAAGGAAGGAAGGAAGGGAGGGCGAGGTACAAGGGGTTTATTTGAGCATGCTTTCACGGAGTTGAATGTCACGGGGATGTTGTCCGCCAGAGGTAGGTTCGCCACCAGCTGTACCATGCACGAGAGGGACAGTGGGAGAGGAACAGTGGGATTGAGACAGGGAAAAAGGGACAGAGTTGATGCTGCGGCGGCCCGTCCTGACCGAGTTGAAGGTCACGGGGATGTTGTCCGCCAGAGGCAGGTCCGCCACCAGCTGTGCCATGCACGAGAGGGACAGGAGAAAGGCATCCAAGAGAGGGGCAGTGGGTGAGGAACAGGGGACTAATCCTCTCATGGCCTGCTTTCACGGAATAGAAAGTCACTTGAGAGAGGATTGGCCCACCTGCACCCATTCCGCCCCCCACCACCAATAGGGCCACCCTTTCCCCCCTACTGGTTTTCACACCCAACCCTCCTCCTCACCTGCAGCATGTCACCGGAGTCGCTGCGCCACACCTCCACACGGCGGGGGAAGCGGCCACAGGGCCTCTACTGCACCCACCTGTACCGACCTGCACCCATTCCACCCCCCATCCCTGCCCCATTCCATTGACTGCCCCACCTGCAGCATGTCACTGGAGTCGCTGCGCCACACCTCCACGCGGCGGGGGAAGCGGCCACACGGCCTCTGCTGCACCGCCCTGCACTGCACTGCACCCACTACGTCCCCCCTCACTGCCTCTGCCCCACCTGCAGCATGTCACCGGAGTCACTGCGCCACACCTCCACGCGGCGGGGGAAGCGGCCACAGGGCCTCTACTGCACCCACCTGCACCCATTCCACCCCCCACCACTGCCCCATTCCATTGACTGCCCCACCTGCAGCAGGTCACCAGAGTCGCTGCGCCACACCTCCACGCGGCGGGGGAAGCGGCCACACGGCACCTCGAAGGAGAAGGGGCGGCACATGCGCTCCACCAGCAGGTACTTGCCGTCGTGTGATGGCTCCACCTGTGTGGGGTGGGGTGGGGTGGGGTGGGGTGGGAGAGAGACTGGTTGCTGTTGTGGGGAAGGATTGGGCACCATTGAGGACGCAGGGCCCCATTTGCGCTCAACCAGCACGTACATGCTGTTGTGAGGCCCCTTCCCACCCTCTCCCACTCTCCCTCCCCTCCCGTCCCTCCCTCCCCTCTCTCCCCCGCTCCCCCTCAGCACATACCGACATGTACATGTCCGGTGGGCCAATGGGCTTCATCGATCCCTCGGGGTCATTGATATCAATCCTGACGATCTGCGAGAGTGCAAAGTGTTCCAGCAGGCGAGCGTCAAACTCGTCTTTGAGCAGATCTGTGAACGTGCGTGACTGCGCCGCCACACCGCCCTGGTTGTCTGAGATCTTGGGGCCGGGAGGGACTGCTGGGCGCGTGGGCAGTGGCGGGTGGCCGGGCGGGATGATGCTCGCGATGAGCGTGCTGCCGTCAAGCCACGCGTAGCTGAGGGGTTGGGAGGGGTGCGGAGGGGTGGGCAGGTGTGGGGGGGATGGGGAGGAATGGGGATGGACGGGTTGCATTGAGGAGGTGAAGTGGAGGTGGTTCGAGGTAGGCAACGAGGGCAGGTTCATAGCGTGGGACTGATAGGTGGGACTGATAGGTGGGGTGGGACTGATGGGTGGGACTGATAGGTGGGACTGATAGGTGGGACTGATAGGTGGGACTGATAGGTGGGACTGATAGGTGGGACTGATAGATGGGACTGATAGGTGGGACTGATAGGAGGGACTGATAGGTGGGACTGATAGGTGGGACTGATAGTTGGGACTGATAGGTGGGACTGATAGGTGGGACTGATAGGTGGGACTGATAGGTGGGACTGATAGGTGGGACTGATAGGTGGGACTGATAGGTGGGACTGATAGGAGGGACTGATAGGTGGGACTGATAGGAGGGACTGATAGGTGGGACTGATAGGTGGGACTGATAGTTGGGACTGATAGGTGGGACTGATAGGTGGGACTGATAGGTGGGACTGATAGGTGGGACTGATAGGTGGGACTGATAGGTGGGACTGATAGGTGGGACTGATAGGAGGGACTGATAGGTGGGACTGATAGGTGGGACTGATAGGTGGGACTGATAGGTGGGACTGATAGGTGGGACTGATAGGTGGGACTGATAGGTGGGACTGATAGGTGGGACTGATAGGTGGGACTGATAGGTGGGACTGATAGGTGGGACTGATAGGTGGGACTGATAGGTGGGACTGATAGGAGACTGATAGGTGGGACTGATAGGCGGGACTGATAGGTGGGACTGATAGGTGGGACTGATAGGTGGGGACTGATAGGTGGGACTGATAGGTGGGACTGATAGGAGGGACTGATAGGTGGGACTGATAGGTGGGACTGATAGGAGGGACTGATAGGTGGGACTGATAGGCGGGACTGATAGGTGGGACTGATAGGTGGGACTGATAGGTTGGGACTGATAGGTGGGACTGATAGGTGGGACTGATAGGTGGGACTGATAGGTGGGACTGATAGGTGGGTGGGACTGATAGGTGGGACTGATAGGTGGGACTGATAGGTGGGACTGATAGGTGGGACTGATAGGTTGGACTGATAGGTGGGACTGATAGGAGGGACTGATAGGTGGGTGGGACTGATAGGTGGGTGGGACTGATAGGTGGGACTGATAGGTGGGACTGATAGGAGGGACTGATAGGTGGGACTGATAGGTGGGGCTGATAGGTTGGGACTGATAGGTGGGACTGATAGGTGGGACTGATAGGTGGGACTGATAGGTGGGACTGATAGGTGGGACTGATAGGTGGGACTGATAGGTGGGACTGATAGGTGGGGCTGATAGGAGGGACTGATAGGTGGGTGGGACTGATAGGTGGGACTGATAGGTGGGACTGATAGGTGGGACTGATAGGAGGGACTGATAGGTGGGGCTGATAGGTGGGACTGATAGGTGGGGACTGATAGGTGGGACTGATAGGTGGGACTGATAGGTGGGACTGATAGGTGGGACTGATAGGTGGGACTGATAGGTGGGACTGATAGGTGGGACTGATAGGTGGGACTGATAGGTGGGACTGATAGGTGGGACTGATAGGAGGGACTGATAGGTGGGACTGATAGGTGGGACTGATAGTTGGGACTGATAGGTGGGACTGATAGGTGGGACTGATAGGTGGGACTGATAGGTGGGACTGATAGGTGGGACTGATAGGTGGGACTGATAGGTGGGACTGATAGGTGGGACTGATAGGTGGGACTGATAGGTGGGACTGATAGGTGGGACTGATAGGAGGGACTGATAGGTGGGTGGGACTGATAGGTGGGACTGATAGGTGGGACTGATAGGTGGGACTGATAGGAGGGACTGATAGGTGGGGCTGTTAGGTTGGGACTGATAGGTTGGGACTGATAGGTGGTACTGATAGGTGGGACTGATAGGTGGGACTGATAGGTGGGACTGATAGGTGGGACTGATAGGTGGGACTGATAGGTGGGACTGATAGGTGGGACTGATAGGTGGGACTGATAGGTGGGACTGATAGGAGGGACTGATAGGTGGGACTGATAGGCGGGACTGATAGGTGGGACTGATAGGTGGGACTGATAGGTTGGGACTGATAGGTGGGACTGATAGGTGGGACTGATAGGTGGGACTGATAGGTGGGACTGATAGGTGGGTGGGACTGATAGGTGGGACTGATAGGTGGGACTGATAGGTGGGACTGATAGGTGGGACTGATAGGTGGGACTGATAGGTGGGACTGATAGGAGGGACTGATAGGTGGGTGGGACTGATAGGTGGGACTGATAGGTGGGACTGATAGGTGGGACTGATAGGAGAGACTGATAGGTGGGACTGATAGGTGGGGCTGATAGGTTGGGACTGATAGGTGGGACTGATAGGTGGGACTGATAGGTGGGACTGATAGGTGGGACTGATAGGTGGGACTGATAGGTGGGACTGATAGGTGGGACTGATAGGTGGGACTGATAGGTGGGACTGATAGGAGGGACTGATAGGTGGGGCTGATAGGTTGGGACTGATAGGTTGGGACTGATAGGTGGGACTGATAGGTGGGACTGATAGGTGGGACTGATAGTGGGGCTGATAGGTGGGGCTGATAGGTTGGGACTGATAGGTGGGACTGATAGGTGGGACTGATAGGTGAGACTGATAGGTGGGACTGATAGGTGGGACTGATAGGTGGGACTGATAGGTGGGACTGATAGGTGGGGTTGATAGGTGGGGCTGATAGGTGGGACTGATAGGTGGGTCTGATAGGTGGGGCTGATAGGAGGGGCTGATAGGAGGGGCTGATAGGTGGGACTGATAGGTGGGACTGATAGGTGGGACTGATAGGAGGGGCTGATAGGTGGGGCTGATAGGAGGGGCTGATAGGAGGGGCTGATAGGTGGGGCTGATAGGAGGGGCTGATAGGTGGGGCTGATAGGAGGGGCTGATAGGTGGGGCTGATAGGAGGGGCTGATAGGAGGGGCTGATAGGAGGGGCGAGAGCAGAGCAAAGGGACGATCCTCACGAGTCGAAGACGGCGTTGATGGCGGCATGCGGCGGCCCCAGCAGCTGCCTCGCCTTGCCCGTCGCCACGTCAGCCACCCAGAGTGACAGCTGGCGGCCTGCCTGCTTCTCGCCATTGTCGCCCTGGAGGGAGAAGGGTGGGGGAAGAAGGGTGGGAGGTGAAGGGTCAAGACAGAGGGGTGCAGGAGACGAAGGTGAGGAAGCGCAGATTGAGGAGAGCTTGAGGAGAGAGAGGCACGGATGGGACACAGCAGACAGGCAGGTGGAAGCACGGAGGAGCAGGTAAGGCGCGGAGACACACCAGTGGAGGGCCACTAGAACACTATGAGTGTCTCACCTCCTCGCCGTCGCCGCGCACTGTGAACGCCAAGTGCTGCCCGTCTGGTGACCTGATACATGCAGACGAGGGACAGGCAAGACGATGTGACGTCTGGCATGCCATGTGGGCAATGCAACGTGTTGACTGCCACGCGCCATGTATGCATGTTTGTATACACGCAGGCATGGAGGACGCAGGCGAAGAGGATAATGAAAGCCCATCCCCAGCCTTCCGTAACCATGCAGGTAAGGAGATAATATCCCTCATAGAAATCAATTCAGAAGTACCCCTAATCACCCCCCTGTACTCTCACCAGGAGAGGAAGTTGATCTTGCTGGCGGGGGGCAGCCCTGTTATGTCCACCGAATCCCCGAGTGTGTCGTCGCCATTCACCCTGTGGATGCTCACTCCCGTGTAGAACGACCTGGTGGTGCAACGAAGGGGAAGGGCAGCAGCAAGACACCACACGTCTGACAACGTATCACATTCACCCTGTGGATGCTCACCCCCGTGTAGAACGACCTGGTGGTGCGGAGAGGGGGCGATGGGGCGGGTGCAGTGGGGTGAAAAAGGGGAGCGACATTATGTGTAGCACTGTGTTTCATTCACATGCTCACCCCCGTGTAGAACGACCTGGCGGTGCAGGGGGGGGACATAGGGGTCGGTGCAGAGGGGTGGGTGCAATGGGGCTGGTGCAATGGGGCCGGTGCAATAGGGCGGGAGAGGGTAGAGGCATTGCAAAGGCGTGGCACTGGGCTTCTTGTGTGGATGGTCACGCCCGTGTGGATGCTTCTTTCACTGTGTGGATGCTCACGCCCGTGTGGATGCTTCTTTCACTGTGTGGATGCTCACGCCCGTGTGGATGCTTCTTTCACTGTGTGGATGCTCACGCCCGTGTGGATGCTTCTTTCACTGTGTGGATGCTCACGCCCGTGTGGATGCTTCTTTCACTGTGTAGATGCTCACGCCCGTGTGGATGCTTCTTTCACTGTGTGGATGCTCACGCCCGTGTGGATGCTTCTTTCACTGTGTGGATGCTCACGCCCGTGTGGATGCTTCTTTCACTGTGTGGATGCTCACGCCCGTGTGGATGCTTCTTTCACTGTGTGGATGCTCACGCCCGTGTGGATGCTTCTTTCACTGTGTGGATGCTCACGCCCGTGTGGATGCTTCTTTCACTGTGTGGATGCTCACGCCCGTGTGGATGCTTCTTTCACTGTGTGGATGGTCACGCCCGTGTGGATGCTTCTTTCACTGTGTGGATGCTCACGCCCGTGTGGATGCTTCTTTCACTGTGTGGATGCTCACGCCCGTGTGGATGCTTCTTTCACTGTGTGGATGCTCACGCCCGTGTGGATGCTTCTTTCACTGTGTGGATGCTCACGCCCGTGTGGATGCTTCTTTCACTGTGTAGATGCTCACGCCCGTGTGGATGCTTCTTTCACTGTGTGGATGCTCACGCCCGTGTGGATGCTTCTTTCACTGTGTGGATGCTCACGCCCGTGTGGATGCTTCTTTCACTGTGTGGATGCTCACGCCCGTGTGGATGCTTCTTTCACTGTGTGGATGCTCACGCCCGTGTGGATGCTTCTTTCACTGTGTGGATGCTCACGCCCGTGTGGATGCTTCTTTCACTGTGTGGATGCTCACGCCCGTGTGGATGCTTCTTTCACTGTGTGGATGCTCACGCCCGTGTGGATGCTTCTTTCACTGTGTGGATGCTCACGCCCGTGTGGATGCTTCTTTCACTGTGTGGATGCTCACGCCCGTGTGGATGCTTCTTTCACTGTGTGGATGGTCATCCCCGTGTAGAACGACCTGGTGGTGCAGGGGGGGCGAGAGGATGATCAGTGTGTTGTTACATCCACCCCATCAGTTCCACCCCATCACTTCCACCCCATCACTTCCACCCCATCACTTCCACCCCATCAGTTCCACCCCATCAGTTCCATCCCATCAGTTCCACCCCATCAGTTCCACCCCATCAGTTCCACCCCATCAGTTCCACCCCATCAGTTCCACCCCATCAGTTCCCACCCCATCATTTCCCCCCCATCAGTTCCACCCCATCAGTTCCTTACATGGACTGTTGGGAAGTAGGTGCGGGCGCTCAAGCCTGAAGAGAGGAACATCACATTGAGCAGCAGCAACAGCTCGCACAGTGGTGCATCACACTCATGCCCCCTGCGGATAGACCTCGCATTCTGCTTCTGCTGTGACTCACAGCCCTCTGTGACTCTGATTCCCGTGATGCTGACGCCATGCCTCACGTGCTGCTGTAACAGCGATTATCATGCTGCTGCCACCGTGACTCACATTCTGCTGCGGCTGTGAGCTTCGGGGTCGATCCTCACCCCAGCCAGCTTCAGCTCCGGCCGAGCCAGCTCGGAAATGGGTGTCAGAGAGGGTCGGTGCATGAACAGTACCCTCTCCCGCTTCGGACTAAACGACAGCGAGGGATTGGGCGGCGCATCCACGATGGACAGGATCTCCGCTGGCGGCAGAGCGTATCCTGAGTTAAGATCTGATTCTGAGTCAGATTCTGTTGCAGACGCCAACGTGGGTCCAGCTGAAGCGGTAAGATCTGGGGACGGATGGGAAATGAACAGTGGAAGAGCAGGGAGGGGGAGGGGGGACGGGGTGGGGGGAAGCGGGTTGAAGAGGAGGGGGTTGTGCGTGGGAAATGGAGTCGGGGGATAGCGACATATCGACTGTGCTCACTTGCACGCGTTTATGGTTGAATGAGACGCACACACGGCCTTCGGATGGCCGTCCTGTGTGATGGCTCACCTTCCGCCATGGCCGCATTGGAGGTAGAAGCGGCGCCAGCAGCAGCAGCTCCGCCTCCCATCAATGACGCCGCGATCAGCATCGCTCGTCGAAATCCGCCGTTTCTGTCGACCATTTCGCGGCCATTGCCGGCCACACCCCGCAAAATCCTGCCGTTCCCGATAAAGGCAGACGAGGAAGAGCTACTAACGGGGATTCGCGTGCTGAAAGCGCGCCGATGAGCGTTAAGGCCGCTGCTGACGCCGACCAACGGACGATGCGCGCTGACGTGGACTGCCATTGGAACCGTCCGCGTTGATGCGGGCGAATTCGCCACCGACGAGCGACGGTGATCGAGGCACACACCGCCGTCGAACGTGCGAGGTGACGGTACGGCTGCCACAAGACAGCGGGATCTAAGTTGGCTAAGCGATCGAAGCGAGCTAAGCGAACGGAGCGGGGTGAGCGGGACACTGAATCGCGCTACCGCGACGCAGCTGCTGGCTGCAGGCGCCGTCCACATCAAGGTGACGAGGCGACGGCGAGGCGATACGGAGAGGCTGTCAGGCGATCATGGAATGCAGCGAGAATGGCACCATTGTTGAGTTCGCCCAGCTCGGCTTTCCCAGGAGAGGGGGGATGAACCCAAGGGATCGCCGCAAACCTTGATGTTATCCAAACAGAAGTGTTGTGTGGAAGCTGATAAATACATTTCTCTGATAACATAGACGTTGATATTTCAGGTATTTACTTTAACGCGTATAGCCGTGTGTTCCTTGAGAAATGTTTCTCCAAACCACGCTCCTCGGCTGAACACGCTTCAGCAAGAACCATTCTAGCCGTAGTTTGCCTGAAGCTTGCGGAATACCTTTCACTACTTCTTTGTGCTTTTATCTGTTGCTATATTCCGTCCAGTGCCTCAAGCCGCGCACTACGATCCAAGCAGCGGTCATGTTCAACCGATCTAATCTCGACCGGTTTAAGAAAGCGCAGTCGTCAGACCCTTTTGGAATTGGGGAGACTCGCGGAGCCGCTCCCGAAAAGTCGTCCTTTGCGTCGCAGACCACGGCTGTCGCAGCAGGCCGTGCGACAGGTACCGTCATCTATGCCACGTCAGCTCAGCCTGTCCGATCGCCTTTTACTAAACAATCGCAGGATCATGCCCCCCAGACGCATGCGACTCAGCAGCAACAGCAGCAACAGAAGCTGCAGCAGGTCCCGCAACAGCAGCAGGAGCAAGAGCAATTAGTTGCGATCACCATAGGTGGAGGATCCTCCACGTGGCAGCCTCCGGAATGGGCTGTGGTTCCAAAACCAGGCGTGTACTCGCTGGAAGTTCTCAAGGTGATTATTTTCCCTCACGCATTGACTGCTGGGTTCGCCTGAGAAGCAGCAAGAGGCTCAGCGATAGAGGCAGCATCACCGGGAAACGTGTAATTCCGTTCTGGAGTGTGAAATTCAGAATGACAATCCACGGGGAGGGATATCATCCTGCTTGGGGTGTGAATCGTATTGTTATCTTTCCTGGGGTGTGTTTGTTGATGTGGTGCGGCAGGATGGAGTATCAGCTGGCAGCATACCATTGGACAAGAAGCGCGCTCTGTTTGGGCGGCAAACCACCACATGCGACTATGTGCTGGAGCACCCCTCTCTCTCCCGCCAGCACGCCGCAGTGGTGCACAGGAAGAACGGCAGCGTCTTTGTCATTGACCTGGGGTGCGTACCGTGCTACACCGTTCGTAACCCCTTCAGCATGCTTTAACACTCTTGTTTTTTCCCTGTTCGCAGCTCGGTCCATGGCACTTATGTCTCTAACGAGCGGCTCTTAAAGGATATTCCCGTTGAGATAGAGCCCGGCCAATCGCTGCGCTTTGCTGCCTCCACACGCACGTACGTGCTTCGTAAGGCAATCCCGCAGCCCCCACCGCCGTCATCGTTGCCATCAGCCGCAGCAGCTACAGATCTTGCCAGTTCAGAAGAAGCGCCTTTCGCTGCTACAGCTGCTACTACAGCCTGGCCGGGTGCGAGGGAACATCAGCAGGAGCAGCACCAGTTGCCACCTCCCCCGGATAAGGACGACCCAGAGGCAGTTGCACAGTACAACATGGTGCTGAACCTGCTTGGGTTGCCTTCCGGGGAATTTAACCTTGGGAATACCGGCGCTGGTCCCTCCAGACGAGCTGTAGAGAGGGAGAGGAAGAGGAAGAGAGGCGAAGGAGGGATGGAAGAAGGAGGGGAGGAGGAAGCAGCAGCAGAGGGAGAGAAGGGCGGGGATGAGAGAGGGGGCGATAAAGCAGGTGAAGGGAGGAATGGGAAAGCAGATGACAGGGAGCCGGCTGGGAAAAAGCACAAGGCAGGAGCGACTTCAGCAGCAGCAGCAGCAGGCACCTCATGCAAACCCCAGGTGGCGCTGTCAACAAGTGAGGCAGCGTCTCGAGCGAGGAGAGCGCGGGTGAAGTTCCGAGACGAGCAGGGCGGGCTGCTGGTGGAGGTGGTGGGGTTCTCCGATGGGGCCCACGTGGGGGCAGAGCCGGGACCTGTGGGGGTGAAGGAGGGGGGCAGCCTCATGGGACGCTTCGACTGTCTCGTGCAGACCGTGGTGATTCCACGCGTGCGCACCAAGAACACTGCTGCGGGTGGTGGCTCGCCAGGATCCACGTCAGCATCCACGTCAGCGTCCACATCAGCAGCAGTGCAGTCGAACCAATCAGGGTTTTCATCAGCAGCATCACCATCACCAGCACTGCAGGCAGTATCATCGCCAACCCCTTCTGCCCGCCCGTCACCATCGGTAGCATCGCCAGGCAGCAAGGTGAGTGTGGCGGACAGAATGAAGTGGTACATGGAGAGGGTGAAATCACCCAAGCAGCAGGGGCTCTACGGGGGCCTGGGGGAGGAGAACGTGCTTGGAAAGAGGTCGGAGTCCTGGGCTGAGGCTCGCGATAATTCGGGTGCTGGCTCTGGTGGTGCCGGTGGTGCTGCATCTGCTGGGCAAGAGAAGGGAGATGTGTCAAGTGCAGCTGAAGACGACAGCAGGGACCTCTTTCATGTGGCTCAGTGATGCTCAAGCTGTCTCCATCCACCCTAGGATTATTTACCTTGATATTGTCATTGTAATGCTCGTTTCGAATGACATGCTGTTCGCGTTGCAGTAAGTGAAACATGCTGTGACCCTAACATCTCGCCCATGGCTAATGAGTGGCATTTGTCAAAGCATATGCTTGTTATACATGTGTAGGCTGTAGTGGGGTAGCCAATATGGGGTACAGCCCCTTTTAGGGTTTCATACTTGTACCCAACTCTCTCATAGTTCATTCATTCCTGCTGCTTGATTCTGACATGGTTTCAGAGCACTAGGTCCGTAGGACCGTTTTTTTTCGGGCCCACCTACCGTTGCGGTTACCGTGTTACCCCACGTGTTGTCCTGCCTGCCTGCCTTGCCTTGTGACGTGCTGCGCTGCGCGCGCCGTCCTGCAGCCCTCGTACTGCCCACTGCTGCCCTAGGCCAGAGCGCCGCCCCTGCAGGCCCGTAAGGCTCACGCGCCGCGGCTGCAGACACGTCAGGCCTGCGCGCTGCCCCTGCAGGCCCGTCAGGCCAGGGCGCCGCCCCGCCAGTTCCCTGCCCCGCGCGTCGCGCTGCAGCCCCGCGCGTCGCGCCCACAGCCCGTGCGTCGCGCTGCAGCCCCGCGCGTCGCGTCCGCTGCCCGCGCGTCGCGCTGCAGCCCCGCGCGCCGCGACTGCCGTCCTCGCGCAGCCCGCGGCGGCTTCGCGCGCCGCGTTTGCAGCTCGCGTGGCGCGCTGCAGCCCCGCACGCCGCGGCTGCCCCTGGACGCCGCCGTCGCTCCTGCAGCAGCTGCCGCGGAGCGCCCTGCCGCAGTCGCGGCCCCGCCCTGCAGCACCTGCCGCGGAGCCTCCTGCCGCCGTCGCGGCCCTGCCCTGCAGCAGCTGCCGCGGAGCCTTCTGCCGCCGTCACGTCCCCGCCCTGCAGCAGCTGTCGCGGACCTGCCCTTCCTCCGACGCGGTCCTGCTCTGCCGCAGCTGTCGCGGCCCCGCCGTCGCCGCCGTTGTGAGCCTGCCCTTCTCGCCACTGGTGAGCACTTACCTGCCTGCCTGCCTGCCTGCCGCGCCTGCCCTGCCCGCACTACTACTACTGCTAGACTGCTGCTGCTGCTGCTGCTGCTGCTGCTGCTGCTGCTACTACTACTGCTACTACTGCTACTGGCGGTGGCCAGATGCAGCTCCAGCGACGTTCACGCGAGTCTCTCACGCCCCAGCAGCTTCGTGAGTGGTACGCTAGTTGGGGTTGTGGCGGTCGCCGTCGTAGCAGTCGCCCTGGAGCTGGTCAGTTGGGAGCGTCTGGCAGTGGCCAGCTGCAGCTGCAGCGGTGTCCACGCGAGACACTTACGTCCCAGCAGCTTCACGAGTGGTACGCTCAGAGTAGAGGGTCTTTGAGTACCGTTCGCTGCCCGTACGTCATTCGCACAGGTGATCGGGCCGGTCAGCCTTGCGGGACGCTTGGTCACACACAGTCCCGCTGCTTCGCCCGTCTGAGCGACGCCTGGCGTACCGAGTTTGGCGACGAGGCTGAGCTCCCCACCTGGCTGGAGCTGCTTGGACAGAGAGTAGATATCTTTGCTCTTGACTATGATGCTATTCTCACTGCCATGTATGCATTGCCTACTAGTGCTGACCGTGCCTGCTCCCTGTGCGTACCACCTGACCCAGGTATAGAGCCTGCTGCTCTAGGTGCTGGTGAGGCTGCTGCTCTAGGTGCTAGTGCGTCTCTTGCTCTTGGTACTGGTGAGGCTGCTGCTCCAGGTGCTGGTGAGTCTGCTCTCTCTGGTACTGCGCCTGCTGAGGCCGTGTACACCTTCACACTTGACTCAGGTGCTTCCCGCTCCTTCTTTCGCGACAGCACCACACTCACGCCGCTCCGTCGGCCGGTTGCAGTCTCCCTGGCAGACCCCTCTGGGGGTCCAGTCCTTGCGCACTCCTCCACGGTCCTGCCGTGTCCGGCGGTCCCGTCTGGCTCCCTGTCAGGTCTTCACCTCCCCTCGTTCTCTACGAACTTGGTGAGTGGAGCTGACCTACAGGATGTGTGGGTTGACCAGTTCACCCCTGGAGGTCAGCGTGTGA